TCCGGACTCGGAGGTATCGAGCCGCCGGCGTTGCATCGCCCTCCACCATTCATGGACTCGCGGGATATTTCAGCCGGGCACGGAAAGAACGAATTACGGGTATTAGGAACGACGCGGGTGGATTCGACCGTGTTTTACGGTCGGAATAGTCACGAAGTGTCATGACCGGTCCGACTCCGCGGGCATTCGGGAACGATCCGAACGCGGATCGTTCCCGGAATCGAAACGGGCACGTTAATACGCGGTTACCGTATTTTATTAGCGCGCTTAGCTCGACCCCGGCCGACACGGGGACGTCCGTCGCGGTAACGCTCGAGGCGATGGGTTCGAAGGTAGATTTAAATTCGAACTCGAACCTCCCTCTTCCGGAGGGGATTCGAGAAATTCGTCCATATATTTAAATTCGAATTCGGTCTCGCCAATAGTCGCCGTAGAAGGGACCGTGGGAAACCGTTCGATCGGGGCCGGGGGAAGAGACCTCTCGGAAAGTGGTCGACAGTCCGAGGAAGACGGCGTCGGTCGGGGAATTAAGCGACGACGGAGACGCCCGCGCAAGAACCGGCCCTAAGGGAGGAAGAAACGCGGGACGATCGGAGTTGCGAATTTCCGCCCCTCGGCTCGGAGGAGCCCCGATGTCGTTATCGCGTTACCGACACCCATCTCGAAACGCAAGGAACTTCCCCGAAAGAAAGTTACGAAATTCTTAACCGAGTTAAGAGTACCGCGTTCCTCGGAACCCCCGAAGCCGGTCCGAGGGAGAAAAATGGCCGAAACGCGCGGAACTCGCCCGAGTTTCTGGCAAACCGAGGACGCGCCGGATAACGATCCGCATAATATCCCAATTATCGCTAAATTGCTCGTTTCGTCGGCCCGCCTCTGCCCGTCTCTCTCCGACGGGGTACGTTTTCGCGCTCGCGAAAAATCGCCGCGTGACTTTTGACGGCCTCTACGAGCGCCACCGCGAGTATCGAATATTTATAAACGTCGCGTAGCTCTTCGATATTCGATAACACGGTAAAGGGGAAACGGACCGAGGCCGGAGTCCTTTGGGACGGCGGCGATAATTCCTGGAGGACGCGTCATCGAGGGGGCCGTTCGCCACGAGTTAGGGGGCGAGGGTGGAAACGCGTTCTTTCTATTAGTTTCCTCGAAAGATGTCCCACCCCGACGATACGGGATTCTCGAGATTTCCGAGATCCACCTTAAGGGCCGTAAGGGCGGCGGTAATTTATTTCTCCCCGAGTTATCGCCGCACGGGAGCCCATGACTTTCCGAGGCGCGGGGCCGTTCCCCGACATGCCTCGATCGCGTTCCCACCTCGTTCCTATGGGTTCCCGTGGATTCCGCGTGCGTCCGGTGCTCGATGATTCATCCGACCCGTCGGATTCCATCTTCGGACGAAATTCCCGGAATCCTGCTCGTTCCTTATCCGAGTTATCGCGCGAGTCGATTGCCGCTCATAGATTCCCGAGGGGCTCCGCGACGTCCGCTCGGGATCTCGCGCGTTTCTTCTTCCCGGCTTTCCTCCCAATAAACCGAAAGTAGGGGAATTCACGTTCCGTCCACGCAAAACCAGGGGAAACGGGGTGGGCGAGGTAAAAATTAAACGTCCGTCCGTCCACGGATTCCCTCTTCGCGTTAAATATAAGTTTTCAGGAAATGTTGATTTTAAGCGTCAAGTTTCCGATGCGTTTATCCCTGGTCGAAAGGAAACGCGTACTTTCCCGCAATTCCAGCGAATGGTAAACGATTACGAACTATTATTTTACGTCCGACGAATCTCGCCCACCCCCGGGAACGACGACGCGTCCTCCCCCCGACGGACGGCGCTCCGTATCCGTTTCCATCCACTTCCGTGCCATTATCGGGGTATCTACTCGAGATGCGGTCCCGATACCGGAGGGCCCAGACGACGCCACCGCCGACGGCGCGATTCTATTTTTCCCAGATGCGCTCAATGAGAAACGACCGGAGCCGGAGGGCGGACGAGACGCGGCGGGGGACGGACGGGCTCGGATGAAGTAGATCGCGGGGGGACGAGGAGGGAGGAAAATGAGAGCCGGGAACGTACCATCGCCCCTGCCCCAACCTTCGCTTCGGCCAAGTTGATCGCTGCTATCCGGACCCTCCGGGGCGCCACCGGCGCCAGGGGTGGTTTTCCGCCCGCCGACCTCCGGAGAGGGTGCCGGATTTTTTTTTACGAGAACATCGACGGTCGTCCTCGTGCGGATATTTTTCGAGTCGATCGGAGGGGTCCCGGCGGTCGATAAACATTCAAAATCTCGCGGCTGCCGAAAATTATGAAATTTTTGAAATTCCGAATTCCTCCCTCGTCAGAGGGTAACCGCGTATGCGTATCCCCGGTAACGCGGAGAATAGGAGGGCAGAGAGTCGAGACGTCGAAGCGGGCCAATCGGAAGCCTCGCTTTGTCCACCGGACACCCTCCTCGACTTCCGGTGTCTTGGCTCGCGACTCCCATTAGCGTCGTCGCGATGGAAAACGCGGAGCGACTCAAAGGAGGCTCGCGATTCGGTCAACTAAAAGCTCTCGGAGGCCCGGAAAGGGGAGAAGAGAGAAAGAGCCTCGGATGCAGCGGCCCTCTTTCTTCGGCGCACCCCGCGCCGCGCCGCCACCCTGCCACCCACTGCCACCCTGCGACGGTTCGATTACACGCCGACCCGCTCCGCCCGTTCCGCCCGTTCCGCCCGTTCCGCCCTTTCGAGATATCGACGAGTCCTGCCTCTCTCGACAGCGAGACCAGCGGAACGAGCGCGGATGGGATTTTTCCGACTCTCCTCCCCCGCGAAAATCGGGTCGAGGAATTAGACGAGAGAATCAAGGGGCACATTCCGCGTAAGCGGGTAACGGGAGATCAAGGATAGCGAACGTCGCCGTACCGGAGGAACCACGGACGAGATAAAAATGAAAGGACGGGCGTCGGGTCGGGCGCGAGGGGGGCTCTATGCGAGTTCCTTGACCCGGGTGGGTTTCTCGAACGGCAATCGGGCGCAGCTGCGGAGGAAATGATTCGTTGCTTATTCCGAGGGCAAAATTGTCTTGGCACCGATGGTCGGTCTCTCGAGGGGGTGGCGAGGTACACCTTATGCTAAGGCGGCCATTAGGGGGTGACATATGACTCGCGTGTCTCGGTCAGCTAGTGGCCGGGTCCGCGTCGAGGCGTCGCTTTCGTGGGTACACCCCTCTGAATTTCGATTTCGAGTCCCACCCGAGAACTCGGGGGTCGAGAGAAATTGGGGAAAAATCCGGAGCGGCGACCGTCTTCGGGGCGAACGAGGCCCGGTAGCCAGAAAATCTCGACCCGGGTCTCCGTTACCCGAAACTTCGTTCCCCGAACGCAATCACACGATCGGGTAACTTCCCAATCCGAAGTTAACGGAGGCGCCCTCCACCCCGCTTCTCCCGTGGCCTCGCTCGGTCTTTCTTCCGTTCCTCGTCGCACCCCATCGGCACCGCCGATCGCTCTCTTTCTCGCCCTATCACCCCATCCGGGTCTCTCCCTCTTCCTCGTTCCGCCCCTCCACCCCCGAGTCCGTTCGCCGATCCCTCCCGCAGAACTTATCGCGAGCCCCTTTTAAAATAATCCGAGTTCCCGAGGCCGCGGGCGATTTCCGAGTTTGGTCCGTAATTGCCCCCTCCCCGGGACGGGGCGCTCTCGGGGCTCGGATGCAGTCCGGGCTCGTGTTTTACAGCGGGACTTCGATTTCCGGGACTAAGTGCCGATAAGCGACCGTGGCCGAGATCGGGAACCTCGATTCTCGACGAGGACGAGATCTTTTTCTTATCTCTCCGCGTGTAAGGGTTGCAATTAAAATCGTTCCGGCAGCGATCGCCTCTCGGAACGACCGACCGTGATTTTTCGTTACCTTCTCGGAGAAGAACGAGGGTCCGGAACCTCGAGACGCGCGGCTCCTATCGGCAGGGGAGGTTTTTTAATTTTTTTTTTCTCGGGGGGAGACTCGCCCGACCCCGAGGGCCAAGGGTTGCCTCCCTCGGCGCGGAACCGGTCGCTAGGCGCCTTTTAAAATAATCCGAGTTGCCGAGGCCTCGGGCTATCAGGGAAACGTAGCTTGTAATCGCGCCCCCGCCGAGGACCGGGAGGGGGGCGAACGCACCCTGGACTCCACCATGTTTTACAGCGGGCTTAGATCGTCGAGACCAAGTGCGGCCCGGGTGTCGATAAGCGACCCCATCGGCGATCGGAAACCCTGATTCCCTCGGGTTCCGTTATCGCGCCCATATACGCGTCGCCCTAGCCCGACGCGTTCCGAAACCGACGAATCCACTCGATCTTTCCCGTTGGAAATGTTTCCGTTCCCGTGCGACCGGGGACACCGGGAGTCGTCCCGAAAATCGTTCCGAGAAGTCGCCACGCTGGAACGCAACCGAGGCGACGTTTCCCTTCAAGGGACAACAACGATACCCTTTCTGGAGCAGCGCGGGCGGCGGGGACCGTGAACGGAAAAAAAGCCGGCGGCATTAATATCGGAATATCGACTTTTGGGAGGAGAAAAGCCTCGTATCTGGTATTTTTTTGTTCCGCGCCCCGCGACGGTCGCGTCACCCGGGGGGAGCGGGCAAATCCCGAAGCTTCCGCCCGTCGACCGATGGCCCGTGGTGCGCCCCGCCGCCCCCGGGGGGCCGTCCCTTTCGGCTTTTTATGGGGCCCTCTCTCGTTATTTACCTTTGCCGGACGGCTTTTCCGAAGATTAACGACGTGACGTCGCGCGCGAAACTCTCCTTTAATCCGCGCGAACGGGAACGCGGCCGCGACGAATGCGCGCGAACGCCGCCGCGGATGAAAGCCGTCGCCGACAACGGCGCCGCGTCGACGTCGCTAGAACGCGAGGCGCTTTTACGCGTCGGATCGTCGACGGCGAGGCTACCGGCCTGGCCGGCGGTCGAAAACAGCCGAGGAAGAAAAATGGCGCAAAAGCGAGTACGCGAACGTTTCAACGATTCCGGCCTATTTTCTCCTCAGGAGGGCGATTCTGACGAACGTCGATCTTCTGCCGAGCACGCCGTGGCGCCGCCTTCTCGAGGACGACTTCTGGGGCACTCCGCTGCGAGAACGCGGCTCCCACGGAAGCTACAGGCCGCTCTGCGTGGCGACCTTCCGCCTAAACCACCTCTTCGGGGGTTTCGACCCTCTGGGCTACCACGCCGTCAACGTGGCCCTGCACGCCATCTGCAGCGGCCTCGTCGCGGGCCTCGCCAGGAGGGTAAGGCCGACCTCGGGCCGACCCGGACGCTGCCACTCGATCCTTTCCCGCGTGATTTCAGGTCCTGCCCAGCGGAGACAAGTTAGCCCATGCCGTGGCCGCTCTTCTCTTCGCCGTTCACCCGATCCACAGCGAGGCGGTGGCCGGCGTCGTCGGCCGCGCCGACGTCCTCGCCTGTCTCCTGACCCTGACGGCCTTCTTGGCCTACGATAACCACTGTCGAGAGACCAGGCCGTCGGGGCCGCTCCTCCTCGCCGTCCTGTCTTCTATCCTGGCCACTCTGGCCAAGGAGACCGGCATAGCCGCTCTGCCGCTTTGCCTGCTCCGGGAGATCTGCCACGGCGATGTCGACGCGATCCCTCGCAAGGTGAACCGTCGAATCGCCCTCGATCGCTCCGATTCGAGGATATCCGAGCGACTTCCCGCTCCGCCCTCCCGACTGAGGGTGAAGCGGGAAGTCCCGGATAATTCCGCGATTCCTTTGGCGCGAACTCGTTCGATTCGATCGGCGAGGCGAGGCAGGGGGCAACGAGGTTTCCGATTACAGGGTCGCAGGTGGAGTCGACGCAGGAGCGTGCTGACGTTGTCGGGGTGCTCGGTGTTGCTCCTGATAGCCCGACTGCGGGTCGGCGGGGCCCCCCCGGAGTTCGCCACCGCGGACAACCCTACGGCCCGCCACCCCTCGAGGATCGCGAGGGGCCTGACGTTCCTCTACCTGCCGGCGGCCTGCGCCAGGATGCTCCTCTGCCCCGACACGCTGAGCTTCGACTGGTCGATGGACGCGGTGCCGCGCATCGCCACCCTGCGGGATTCGCGGAATCTGGAGTCGGCCTGCTTATACGCCGCTCTGCTGGGCGCGGGGCTGTGGGCCGCCCGGGGCCTGCGCCGACCTCACCCGGTCGACCCGGGGTCGGGCCTCGCCTCCTACCCCTACGGCCCCGTCGCCGTCGCCGGGTACTCCTACGGCCCCGCCTCGAGCACCTCCTCGTCGACGTACTCGTACTCGTACGCGTATCCTGGCGCCGCGTCGCGCTGCCCTCGGTGCCCCGTCTGCTCCGGCCGCAGAGCGGGCGGATGCCACACCGACAGGTGGGTCCCGGCGAGGAGTCCCGAGTCTCCGACCGTACGATCGCGACTCCCCGGCTGAAATCCGGACCCGTTTGCAGATGTCGCGCCGCCAACAACAACAACAACGGCCCCTCGGGGGAGTGTTACTGCCCGAAGGCGGGAAGGCAGCGAACCGGGCGACCGAGTCGGGCGGCGGCCACCGCGGTCCTCCTTTCCCTGGGCTTCCTCGTGCTGCCGTTTCTCCCGGCGAGCAACCTGTTCTTCTACGTGGGCTTCGTCATCGCCGAGCGGGTGCTCTACCTGCCCAGCGTGGGCGCCTGCCTCCTGGTGGGAGCCGCCGTCTCCGGCTGCCACCGACTCGCCAGGAGGGCCTCCGGGACCAAGGCCCGACTCGTCCTGGTCGCCACGGCTCTGCTCCTGGGACTCATGTCGGCCAAGACCCTCCGGCGCAACGCCGACTGGCACGACGAGGAGAGCCTCTACCGGTCCGCTCTTCTGGTCAACCCGCCGAAAGGTGAGCACCCCTCGGTCCCGAAACGTCCCGTCGCTCCAAAGTTTTGGCCGTGACCAACCGGCCGTGACCGAACGGCCCTGACCGTAAAGACCGCAACGACCGCAACGACCGCAACGACCGTGGACGGAATATGGCCGCAACCGCGGCGAGGACCGCGATAAAAACTTGGACGGATCGTGCCCGCGACCGTGACGAGGACCGTGATAAAGACCGTAACGAGGACCGAATCGTGGACTCGCCGCTTTAACGGCGCGCGCGAGCCGCCCGATGTATTTTAATTGTACCAACAGAAATTGCGTGTTACCGCGTTAACGGGCCGCTCCGCTCCGGGAAATAAATTTGCATTTCGGGTCCCGGCTTCCCCGCCCCGGTGACCCCACTCCGCGCTCCCTCCCGCGTCGACCCGCGATCCCGGAGATGCCCGTCGAGGGCGACTCAGGAACGCGGGACCGCGTCGCGTGGCCATCGCGTGGCCATCGCGGGTCGGCGCAAGAAGCGGTCGGTCGGGAGGAAGTCGCGGGCGCGGAGAAAAACCCTTCCAAGCGGGGCAGCCATTATTCGGGAGTTCTTTGACGGGTCGCGGATGAAGGAACTTCCCCGAAAGGATTCCTTCCGTGTCGAGGATTTCCGACAGCGAGAAAGAACCCCGCGAGGAGGGGTGACTCTTTTGTTTCGAGGAGTCCCGACGGCACGGACGGTCAAATTTTGGCAAAAGCGATCTCCCCGTCCTCGACCGAGAGCGGCGAGCGATTTATCGACGCGTTTTCTCCGCCTCGCGTCAGCTTTTCTACCCCGAAAACCGACGCGGAGGATGCTCGCTTTTCGGGCGTTTGGCTTCGGGGATCCGATCGATCTCCGGGGTTAAGCACCGTTGACCACGGACGGGGGACCGAGTTTGTCCAAGTAATGCTTCTTCGCGTTTCCGCGCTTCTTATCGGGCTGCCGTCCGAAAGGGGAAAATCTTTGGTCACTCGCGATTCAACCCGGGAAGGGATCTTCCGCGGAGGTCTCCTCGTTCGATCGAAATCGTAAATTAAAATGCTTGCTCCTTCCAGCTTTCGGCAATTTGGGCAGCGTGCTGAGCGCCCAGGGCCGCGTCGACGAGGCCGAGGAGGCGTTCGTTCAAGCTCTTCGACACCGACCGAACATGGCGGACGTCCACTATAACCTGTAAGTACTGCGACTGTGTTACCCCCTTTCCTTGGGCGGGTTAGGCGGGCAAAATCCATGACTAGGATCGCCAAACGGACCGAAGCGATCCGAAATTTTTTTCACGGGTCAGCCTCGTCAAAGTACGGCAAGGGGCTAGGAAACGCGTTATCGTAAGAGGGATGTACGTATCTGGGAGTCGTCTCTCGGTCGAGGGATGCCGGAATATCGAGGCGGAACGTCCCGAGTATATATACGCGGGAGCACCGGACGGTCGCGCTTATCGCGCTTATCGCGCTCGTCGCGCTCGTCGTGCTGCCGCGCGCGACAGGGCTGGACGGTCGGCGCGTCGCGCGGCCGCGCGAATCCGAGCGAGACCGGGCGGAGGGAGGCGATTTCGAATTGAATGGGAAATTGATGGGCCTCGGCCTGTCGCCCTTCCACGGTTATCCACGCATTCGACACGGTTCCGGCCGGCCGCGGGCCGCGCGCTCGGAGGTTAGGTTTCCGCCTTTGCGGGTTTAGCGAGGCGAAGATACCGGATTAAACGGTAGGTGGGACCGAGCGGAGGAGAAACGGACGCGAGTCGATATCCTCGAGCGTTCTCGGCCGCCCCGATCGAGAAACTCGATAGAGTCTCGCGCCAAATGCGTTTCGGGGCACGAGTTACGATCCGACGCGCCGACGAATTAGGGTTGCGGGTCTCGATCGAGCGGTTTTTCTGGAAATTCTGGCTCCCGTATCCGAAATCGCGTCCCGCTCCCCGGTGGTGGACGAGAACACCGGAGAGCGCGACGAGGGCCTGCGACGCCCAGGGCGGCGCGCTAACGAAGAGGGCGGAAAGTAACGACGCCTCTAACGAGGACCGATCCGCTCGCTGGCCGGCGATTCGTCGACGCACTCGAAGCCCGACGGAATCGGTCGGCGCCCAATTATTGGAAGCCATTGCCACGTAAGAGCGGAGTGGCCGAGACGGACGAGGTGGCTCCGGAATCGGCGACCGTGTCGCGTCCGAAGGGGGATTCGCGGAAAGAATGGCGTCGGAGGGTGCTCGCCCGGGGCAACGCGCTAACGAAGACTCGCCGAGTGGCGGCGCTCTCCGACGGCGGCCGCTCTTCGACGATCAATCGAGGCTGCGTTTCAAAGTATCGAGATGACGCGAGCGCGACGTTAAACGAGTCTCGTTTATCACTCTTTTCTCCGAACCGAGCGTACCGGGGGAAGATCCCGAAACCCGTGAAACTTGGATTTTTTTTCTCATTCGTTTCGGGACGCTTTAAAATGTTTGCACAAAAAATAAAATTTCATGGAAGTCGGGACCTTTCTCGCGGCCTCCACGAGGACCGTCTCCGGGCGAGAAGAACCCTCCGCGAAGGCGTCGGAGCGGAAGGAGGCGGCACGCCAAGGGCAACGCGCTAACGAAGAGGTGACCGAGTGGCGGGGTCTTCCGGCGGCGGCCGATCCGTTGGACACCGTCGCTCCTTTACTTTTAACGAGCGTCGCCCAGGGCCGGCGACGAGATGGCAGAGCCTCGGTAAACCGAGCGCCCGGGCGAATTAATTACTCGGCAAACGCGAGCGAAAACCCCGAGGACGCAGTTTTCCGCAGGGTCGTCGCTCGGTTTTTTCCGGCCCGTCCGCATGAAAAACCGACCCCCTCTGGGAACGCGGGGAACTCGGACCGTTGGCCAGCGTCGAAAAGAGATAGGTTGACCGAGACGATTAAAATCGACGTCGCGACGCCCATCTCCGAGTTGCTCTCTGGCGACCGGCGACGAGAGCCGGACGGTCCGGAGCATCTCGGACAAGGTTGCCTCGGTTCTCTCGCCGCGATCGGTCGATAGACGCGCGGTCGCCTCTCTCGTCTCCGGCGACTCGACCCGGCTCGGGCTAAAATACGATAACCCATAATTCCCTTTTGTCCCCTGAATCGTGCGGCCCGGCATGTATCTTTGGTCCCCGTAGGTATCCCGGCACGGCCGCTCCGCTCGATAATGCATGCGACGCGCGACCGCCGACCGCCCCTCCGCAACGGCTCTCCGCACCGACGCCGCACCGCCCCTGCGCCCTCCCGCACCCTCCCGCGCCGACGCCGCATCCACCTCTCGACCCGGGATCGACGAGTCGAACTTTCTTTCCCGATCCGATCGGGGATCCGTCGGACCGCCAAGACGCGCGTAATCGAACATCATCCCCGGGATGGTCGGATGGGGCACGGTCAATGGAACGCGCGGATCGAAATAGTTGGTTTGCCCTCGGTCGATAGAATTTGTCGATGGAAATAGTTGGATCGGCCGATGGACGGGGCGAGCCGGATAACCCAAAAGCGGGAAGAATCGTTACCCTCTCGGCCGGATACCCCGACGTAGGTGGCGGGAAAATAAGGGCGGAGTTTTAATGAAATCGCGGTAATAGCCGGGAAAAGGAACGATAGGGGGCGAAAAATCGAATTAAGGAGTTTTAAGGAACATTTATTTTCGTGATTAAAGTTGTAAGTGCCTTCGCCCGTCACCGACGCCACGCCACGCCACGCCGCGCCGCGCCGCGTGAACCATGGCCTCCACGCTTCTACCTCTCGGAGGAGTGCGAACTTAACTTCTTAAGAAACTTTGCCCCGTTGCCCCGATCCTCCCGAGTGACGAAACAATCGCCCTTGTCGCCGGGATTAACGATATATGGAACATACGCCGGCACCGATGAATTATTAAACGCTCTCCGAAATTATGCCAATGCCCCGAAGAGGAAACGAAACGAGGAAAACGCGAGTTACGTGGCCGCGGGAAGGATCGATTTCGCATTATCTTGAGTTACTTTGCTTTGCATCGCGATACCGGATGTGCATTACGTACCCCCTGGTTTATATGGACATTCCTGGAATCGGAATTCGGGCCCTAAAATAGGAAGCGCTTCCGCGGATGTGCATCGTTGCTCTGCAGCGTGCACCGTAAAAAGTGCGGTGTTAAATTCATCGGAACGATATTGCGTTTATCCGGAACGGTATTAATCCAATATTATTAACGCGTTTTTTTTTACCGTCCATCCCGCAGATATTTTTAACGGCGCGCTTTTTGTGACTTTAAATCAACGCCGTTAACGCTGCATTTGGGGTTATGCGCGTCTCTATCGGCGGATTTAATGCCGCGTTTTTTCGAACACCTTCGTGGAACGCCCCACAAAAGCGGTATCAATTCCCCGCAAATTCGCGATATCATTGGGATTACTTTTTTGAAAAACTCCAAATCCCTTTATGTAGCAAAGCCTAACCCATGCTGGGAAATGGATCGTGAAAATTACCAGGATTTTTAACGCCGGGTTTCTTCTCCGTTAATTCTCTGCAGATTCTCTCTCATTTGCATCCCGGGAATTTTCGGACTCGAGGGAAGATTCGCCGTTAACAATGAGGGGACAAGGGGTGAAATACCTTTATTTTTCGTCGTTATCGATGTCGCGGAATTGCTCGCGTTAGCGACGAAGTGGGAATCCACCCTGTGACGTATGTTTAACGATCACGCGAATTTTTCTCGTCGGACGAGACGACGCGTAAAATCGAGGGTAAATCGCGAACGCGAAATTGGGCGTATATTATACATCTCGGGATTAAAGGGGTGGGTGTATACCTGCGGAAACTTCAAACAGTTCTCCAAGTCAAGGTACAGGGATATCGATCTTGTATCCTTCGAAGCGCAATTCCTGCGTCCCACCCCACGGAGGATTATTTTACATCCCTCTAATGAGCGAATTTTGATTCCGTTTGATCTTCCTCTCTCCTACCCTCGGCGAGCATTCCCGGAAGAGGAATAAGGTAGCACCGTATGTCTGAAAGTGCGAGTATATTTGCCTTTCCGATATGACATCGTATTTCCGAATTAAGAAGCAGCGCGCCGGGGGCGACGCGTCGTTATCGGGGGAGCCAATCAGGGGAAATTGTTTATAAAATTACCGTTCCTTGGAGGTGGATTCCCCTAGCCCAGAGGGAGGAAAAGGGGCGGTTGCGAACTCGCGGACCGTTGCAGGGCCGTAGACCGGCCTTAATAAGCGTTTTAACGTCCCGCCCGTAAATTCGACGTCACGTGAAATTAGCGAGAATGGAATGGTTGCACCGAACCTACCGACTGCGATCGCGCCGCTACTACTCCTACGATATTGCGATTCGCCGATTCTTCGGCCGACGAAAACGCTCGACTAGAAAGGTAACGCGAGGGGTATTACGATGCGATTAAAAAATTGCTCGAATCATCGGCCGGCGAGGGGTGGCGCGGAAAAAAAGCGGGGAAGAGTAAACGGCGAAGGGAGGAGCTCCCGTTTCCCGACCGCAAAAATTTTTCCCCGAATTCCCAAACTCCGACGTGAAAATTGAATGGAGTCCGCGCGAACCGCGGGACCCGCCGTGCGTATCAAACCGTTCTAGTTTCCGAGCGAGAGGGCCGAAGAGTCGAAAGAGAACGCGGCCCGAAATGTGCTCCGCCCCCGCCGCGCCAAGAATTCGATAAATTCGGTCGACTTCATTGGGCCCGCGTATCGCGGGTCGGAGCGCGCTCTTTTTCCCTCCATTTGTCGAAAGAGTTCATTCGAGAGAACGCCGCGGCTGTTTTCTCCCTTTTCCTCGCGTTTTTCGAACCCACCCCTCGGGGACTCGAGTTCCTTGCATATAACCCCCGAAGTCCGTTCGGCCCGAGTATTACGTGACGCTGCCGCGCGCGCCCATATTATTAAATTTTCGCGTGTCGCGGGATTTCCCGTCCGAGGGGCACAGTTTTCATTTGTTTCGAGCGGAACCTCCCCCGAGGAGGGCCACGGTCAGTTCTCGAACGGACATCTCCCGTATTGGACTTTCTTTTTTCGAGAGGAGGAAATTAGAAGGACAGAGATGCGACATTTGCGGGGCGGATTCGGAGCCAGGATTGACTCCGCGATTTCCCGGAGCTCGTGAAACGAGATCCTCGGAATCGATTTATTTCGGTTTGGCACGGCCCTTCCCGGGACTTGACTTGAATTTCTGTCATAAGAGTGAAATACCGAGGGGTAGTCCATTGCTAGAAGTCGATGAAGGAGCCACGGAAGATGTGCTCATGCGCATCCGTACCTCGCCGAGTGGAATCAGAAACGCGTCTCCGGATTCCCTCGTATTTCTCCGGGAAATTTCGAATATACCCGAAGGAGATAAAAGTCCGAGCCGTCGTTGAATTTACTTCGAGTGGTCCTCGCGGGTATCCCGAGCCATATACGCGCCGTGTTCGGGGGCGACGACGAAAGCAAAATGGCGGAATCCGAGGACCCCTCGAAAGACTCGGAGACGCTCGTCGTCCGCGGCCTGTATCTGACGGAAAACCGTTTGCATCGTTTCCAGGGGCATCCTGCAACAGGGCAGAAGGGACTTCGATGCGGCCATCTTGAGCTACCAGCGGGCCATTCATTTCCGGCCCTCCCTGGCGCGTGAGTACGAAATCCGATGCGGGAATTATGCATGCGCGCTTAATAAGGTCTCGGGTTAACAGCCTTTCGGCATCCGGAAGGTGTCAACCCTCCGCTCTTATTATCTTTCGGCACGCACCGACACGGCGGCCGAGTTCCCGCTCGAGCACGACGCGGGGGCGAAACCGTTTAGATCCGCGGATACCCTCGATGGTTCCTCGTGTTACGTTAACGAAAAAAAAAGAGTAAATAGGGAAATCGAGAACCAATAACCGGGAGGTATCGATTCCCAAAGGTTTCGGCACCACCCCTCGGCAGGCCGCAGCCTTCCGCGTCGGCGAGATCGCCGAATTTCAACCCCCGACCGGGTCGTACACCGCCTCCATCCCCGACCCCCAGCCCCCCGCGAACCGCGGTCGATAAGGTGGGACGAGTACACCCCGACACGCGTGCAGGGTGTACGCCGCCGATAACACCGGCCTGCCCCCGGCGATATCTTTTAAAGTAGCGACGTTGCGGGGACCGTTTCCGAGGGATTCGTCTTTCGCGGGTCTTTTTCCAAACTCGTCATTTTCGGCGTGACCGAGGTTATCCTTACATCGAAGAATCACGGCGTATCACCTCGAGAAAGGGACGACTCGCCGCTGATACCGTGATTTGGAGATTCTCGTTTTTATCGACTTCTCTCCGAGGTCGCGTCTCGAGTCTTCTCGAAGTTCTTTTGGCCAATTCTTATGCCGGGCGTTCGTGCCCCGGGGTGATCACGCTCAAGGTAGATCGTGAAATCAATTGCGCATGCGAGTTGCAAAGTACGTGGCTCAGGGTAAATACGGGGAGTCGCGTACAAGGTAAACGACGGTCGTGTGCACGAACGACCGTCCACGCGTGTACCCTGCGAATGACGATCGCGGACAAAGCCGATAAGAACGCAACCGATGTACCGATAACGGCTGGGAGTAAAGACGTATCTTTCCGTTGTCGTTCGGAAACGCGGCGGGACTCGAGGGGGTCGAAATAAAAGCCGGCAATTCGGAGATCCCTAAGTGAAACGTTGTATCGGAGCGATCGACCGATGTCGTATCTCACGCCATCGTCTAATTCCAGAAAAAGGGGAAAAAAACGAACGAGGCGATCGGGGTCTCATCAATTTCGAACCGTCAACGTTAATCCCACTCGGAAAAGTTGCCCGCAACTTCGGTACACCTTTAAGTACCCCCGAACTTCCATTCGATTCCGTCAAAGCCTTCTTAAAAGTTGCCGCGGCCGGATAATTACGGTATATTATCTCCGCGGCATAATAATCCGAAATTAAACGAGTTCCGTGTTATTAACCGGAGCACGAGCTCGCGAGTCTCCGAGGGAGGAATTTCGCGTTAATCGGGATGAAGGATGAGCCAAGATCGAGGATACGTTTCTCGGATTTCGCGAGATTATAATGAATTCCGGAGGTAAAACGCGGAAACGAAAACAAGTCGTTAGGGAGCCCCCGGAAAAAGGAGAACTCCCCGTAACTCCTGCGAATGCCGGAAATATTAAATCGCCGGGATTGTCGAAGAGCGCGGAAAGGCGAAAGAACGAGTCCCTCCGTTTGAACGGTCTCCGCTGGGAGCACGCCGAATCATTCGGGCATTCCGGGGTGGCGAACTAATAAGACATCACAGGGGGCCTCCGAGCCGAGCTTTGACCGATATCATATTTATTCGGCCGTGGCCGACGTCGAATCGGCGCGCCACCGATAATCGGACTCGCTCGCCGCGGTACGGGCTCGACGTTATCATTTCGAGATTGGCTCGGTCGTTAAATCCGCATCAGCCTGGACCCGGGCCAGATCCGACGCGGCTAATCTTCGGACGAGAGAGAAATTAGAAAGGCGGGGTGTTGTTCAAAAAGATGTCTCTTCGCCACCTTTTTAAGGGGACGCAAAAGTGGCGAACCCTTCGAGCTTTGCAACGAGAATACAGAGGCCGGAAGGAAGGTTCCGACATCCATGAAATTTCACTTTTTGTAAAATATTTTAAAAAGGTCCATACAGCAATTTGTAAAAAGTTGAAATTTCATGGGGGTGAGGACCTCTTCGACGTTACTTTTGCGGTACCTTTCGGACTCGGCCGACTACGGTGTATAAGTACATCGATCTTTGTCGAGTCTTCGGAATTTCGAACGTCGAACGCTTAAAGGGTGGGCCGCGAATGGGTGCAGCACTGCGCCTGCACGAGTCTTGCACGAGGTGGGGGTGGCAGGGGTGGAGGCACGGCCCGTGGCAGCCATCCGCAAATTGGCGGCCGATCGAGCCACTAATTACCGGAGCCAAGCGTGTTTTAAAAGCTGCCCGCCGCTAATTTACGCCGGGCGAGCGCCGGGAGGAGGACCGATAGCGAGCGGTGATAGCTATTCATAGCTATCGCTAAACGAGACCGCCGTCGAATACTTAAGGGGACGTGAAAGTGGCATCCAAGGGGTCAATCGTGAGTGAAACTTTTCTCCGAACTGGAGGTACCGAATCGTTTCAAACGTTGCAACGTGAATACGGAGGCTACGGAGAAGGTCCTGACGATCGTGGTATTTCAATTTTCGAAAAACTTAAATTTCAAGGGTGCCAGGACCTTCCTCTCGGTCTCGACAATTTTTCGAGATTCGACCTTTTAAAATTTCTCGCGCCGTAAGAATCGCTTCTGGACCGGGCAGGGCACTTTCCCGGCACTCGTATCTCGCCTAGAAATACGGAGGAATTATTGAAGGGTTAATTAAGCCCCCATGAATCAATTAGCACGGAGTGCCGGATCCATCGGTGCATACGGAAATTTCCCAAGAGCCTTCGACTTCTGAGTGCCCTCGTCGCTTTTAACTACGTTAACGGATTTTTTTTTTTTCCCCCTCGTTTTCGACGTCGGCTAATGTTGCTTTTCTGGGCGAAACGGCATTACCCGGAGTCATTCGATTCGGAAGATCAAAACGCGGTCCCGATAGAGTTTCGTTTCGTTCGGGATCGAAATGAAGTACCGTCGAAAAAACCAAGCGCCGATAACCTTTCGCATCCGATTGGAAAGAAACAACGTTAAATCCCATCTCGTTCGCGGAGCCTTCAAAGGTGGGGAAGAAAAAAAAGCGGAATATATTATTTACTTAACCCCGGACGAAGGGAGATCCCGTTTTCGATTACCCCCTCTCTCTACCCCGGGCCGAAACGATCGTTTTCACGTTTCCCCTTTTTCCCCACTTTTACCTCGCGTTTCGCCTCCTTATCTTCCAGGGCAATATTCCCGATTTTCGTTTCCACCCCCGTCCCGACCCGACGCAAGTGGAGCGAAATTAATTTTTGCTCCGTCCGATTCCATTTCGGGTTCCCACTTTGGGCACGAATGGGTATAACCTCGTTTCGAGAGAAACGCGCGCGTTGTCCTCGGCCGCCCAAGAGCGTTCCCCGAGACTGGCGAAACGAAAGGGCCGCGCTATCCTCAATGGGTGTTTTCTGTGTTTCCGGGTCGTCGCAGAGGCCTACGTGAACCTGGGGGCGGCGCTGGTCTCCGCGGGGAGGGCGACGGAGGCAGCCGGCGTCCTGCGAGCGGGAGCTTCCCTGGACGGATCGGGCCTGAAGGACCGAAGGGCCCACGAGGCCGCCAAGGTGCAGGCCCTTTTGCAGCTGGGGGCTCTGTACACCGACCAGGGTCGCCTGAGGAGGGCCCTGGCCGCCTACAGGGAGGCGCTGCACACCCTCCCCGAACACTATCCCCCAGAGGTAGGCGCCCTTCCCCTCCGCGGGGCATCCAGGGGATCGCAGCCTTCGAAGTCGGAATGGAAAGGAGTCGAGGCGAAGGCGACCCAATTTCGGCTCGATTTTCCTCGGAGCCGATTCGAGTCGGGCAGCGCGTCAGGGGTGGTGGATGTGCGATTGCACCCGGGCGAAAATATCGATTATCCCTCCCGTTCCCTTCCACTTGAGCTGGAGTATATGAAAGCACGAGCCACGAAATCAGCTCTTTGGAGGGAAGAGGTATTTGAATAACTTTTCCGCGGCTACAACGGTTGCGGATATGCGTTTTTCCCCCGATTTTTTTCAACGGCCCCTCGATTTTTTTTTCCACCGAGTCCGCACCTCTCCGTGGATTGCGCTCGATGTTGCGCCGTCCTCGTTACAGTTCTGGCCCGGCAGACCCGGACGGAACAAAAGGAGCGAAAACGCCAAGCAGTCTCTCGAGTCCGTAAAAGCACCCGGTTGGCGAGTGTTGTACACGTACGAGGGTATATTTGTATGCGCGAAAAAGGATTAAGTAAAATTTTAACGAAACACCGGCGCAATTATACGCGAAGGGGACGGTTTTTTGGGGACGGTTCTCGAAGAGCACGACTCGGCGATTCGTGAGATGGCTCGGTGGCGTTCTTTGTCGATCGAAACGGTCGAGGTATCCGCGGAAAACCGATGATTGGACCTAGAGGTCGGGATATAAAAGGGAAAATTTAGTTTCGACAGGATCTCGTCGGCCGTTACGCCGAGTTTCCCGGGTCGGTCGAAAACTTCGTAACGAGAGCGAACTCGCGTACCCTTTCCTTTACATGCGTTTCTCCCCTCTCATTAAGCACCGACGGACGCAAAAAAGAAATCTTCGTAATTACCTAAGAACAAAGTGCAGAGAGGGAAAGAAGGAAAAGCCTGGGAATTAAATCGTCGCGTTGCTTCATAATTAATTTCGCGTGCTTCAAGAAATAATTTAAGTGTCCTGTAAATCCTCAAAGAGGCACCGCGGCCGGTCGTTTAAGGAAGGAAATTGGTTTCTGCCAAAGGACGCTTTATCCGCGAGCGTGCAGCGAATTTCCCGGGGGATTCGTCATCGTCTCGCATCATCTCGCAGCCGGAAGCTCCATCTCTGCTCTTTCCCCGCGATTCTCTGTCTCTCTCTCCTCTCATTAGGCACTGACGAACGATGTGCTCTCGTGTCCATTCCGGAACCCTCCGCGATCATGATGCTTTAAGAGCCTCGCGTAATATCGCACGCACGATATACGCTGCAAACCGCTCGAACGGAGTCGACGCGCATCGTTGACGAAAATTCCACCCATTCGTTCGCATCCCGAGATACCGAACTAAAAATGAGAACTAATTAGAAAAGTCTACGAGGGTCTCGCCCGATACCTTGATCGTCGCCCAGTCGAGCAATTTCCCCGGAAAAGCTCGCAGGCTTAAATTCCATGACAGAGGCGAATTCATCCCTATTCTTCCCCCGTGCCTTCATTGAGCATTGACGAACGACGGGATCGCGTGCGAGGCCTGTTCCTGGTCATCCCCTATCCTCCCGTATTAATAACGCAAGGCGTTTTATTTCCCGACGTTTGAGCGGTTAATCGATGTCGTCGGTGATCGCTTTATCGGTTCGGTGGGACCTCGCGTATCCTTACAATCCGGGGTCGATCGAGACTCGTGCGGATCGAACGTACGTTGTCGGGCGCTGTCGACGCTTCAAGATTCCGAGAAATTGCGGATTTCCGCGAACGTAGGTGGGACGGAGAGGATCTCTTTCGGAGGAGCGCCGGGTTTATCCGCAAACGTGAATTATTCTTGCCCGCTTCCGCGTCCATTTTCATAATTTCCAGATACACCGCGGGGACTTGGAAATTGATATCGGTCCGATGACGAGGATTCGAACGAGGACGCGGTTCCCGCGTGGAAACGAACTCGCGGAGCAGAATTCCACCCCGGAAGCGAATTGCGCGTCGGAAGTGAGCTCCTACCCCTTGTCCCTTTGCTCGCATCCCCCCGTGGGCATCGGGCTCGCGTGCTCCCACCCTTCCTGGATGTGCCTCGAGGGTACCTCGCGTTCCGTATGATATTTTAATAACGTAGGGCGCTTTGTTCCCCAGTGTTTGAGTGGCTAATTAGGTGCTCGCGACCCTCCAGTCGGCGGACAATGCCGCTGCGGGGTAATTTCGAACGGCCTTCCTCCGCCCCTCCTGCGCTACCCCTCTTCGCTCCCCTCTGGGCGAGAACGGAATTCAAATGAAAACCCATTACCCGACCGCTACGTTTTCCGATGGTTTTTCCCTAATTCTTTTTTGTCGCAAATTAAAAGAGACACGGCTCGACTGAAATTTCGTGTCGATTTTTGGAATTAGAGGGGAGTCGACCGGTCTCCGATCATCGATTCGCCGGTCGGAAGAAGGCGAGAAAAAAAGAGAGGCTTCGAGCGTAAAATCGATCGCTCGCTCCTGTGAAACGCGACTCTCGAGAGCCTCGATACAATGCGAACGACGCGGGAGACGAGAGGGCTCGAGGGGAATCCTCGCTGCGGACGCCCCCCGAGCTCTCTGGAATTCGGGCTTGGACTCTACCGACGAATCGGGAAATCGGGAAATGGGGAAATTGGTTATTTGGAAAAAGAGAAATAACGTCTTCGTCTGACCGCAGAGCGTCTACAATCTCCTCGGCGAAACGTTGTCCAGGCTGCAGCAGTACGCGGAGGCCGAGAGGTGGTTCCGGGCCAGTTTGGCCAGCCGGCCCGACCATGTTCCGGCTCATATCACTTACGGGAAACTGCTCGCCAGGAACGTTAGTAGCCTGCCCCCGACCGATCTTGAACTTGCCTGCACTCGCTCGTCTCGACCACGATCCTCCTACTTATATTTGCCTATTTACATGTAAATACCCACGCCCCGCTGCCTCGGCCGCGGTCCGGCTCCCCTCCCGCCCTATATTTCCCCCATTTGCATGTAATACCCGAGAGGGAGTCAATTTAAACGAGAGCACCCAGGCTTCCCCGTTTCCTCCGCGGGTGCGAGACGAGGCCGCGGGAAGAATGACCTCGGCCGCTCGATAACCGATCCCGATTCCTTTCCAGTCCAGCCGCGTCACGGAGGCTGAGAGGTGGTTTCTGCGGGCCCTGAGACTGGCACCCGAGGACCCCAGCGTGCACCATCACTACGGTAAGAACGCGACCGGATAGACGGTGCCTCCCCGGGATAAAGACATCGGTTTCGCGGTCGATCGCAGGGGCCTTCCTGACGGCGCAGGGTCGGCTGGCGGAAGCCGCGGAGGAGCAGGTGCGCGCGGCCGAGCTGGCGCGAGCGGACTACGAGCTGAGCGTCGCGGCGGCGGCGGCGCTGCGCCAGGTGGACCGCCTGGCCGAGGCCGAGGCCTGGTACCGACACGCCGCCGCTCTGCGTCCCCTCGAGGCGAGGAGTCACACCAACCTGGGCGCCATCCTGCACCTCAGCGGGAAGTACCGGCAGGCCGCCGCGGCCTACGGCGAGGCTCTGCGGCTCAGGCCGGACGACGAGACCGCGCTGACCAATCTGCACAAACTGGCCGCCCTGTTGGCGTGACCACCGGAGTCGCGACGACGGACCCTGACGGTAGAGATAGAGACCACTCGCTCCCAAAGCGCGCCCCTTTCTTTCCGATTCGAGTCCCGCGAGCGTATCGACCACGACGTCCTCCCCCTTTCTCGGCCCACTTCCTCCTCCAGCCCGCTACGGTATGTAAAGAATAAAGCTTCACTTATTTTTCTCTAGTCTGCCCGGCGTTCTTCTTCCTACGTCGCTCTTTGCCCCCTCTGCGGGGTACGCCCTGCTCCCCCTTCCCGGAGATGACACCCGCGCCGAAGACGTCCCTACGAGTGGTGTCGCTTTTAGGATTCAACGGGCCAGGGGGTCGATCGAGACCCGGACGTCTTCTCATCGGTATAATTTTTCATACACCCCCCGGAGGGTTCGATTTTCGACGAGGGGGAAGGTCCGGGTCTTCGCGCCGCCGTTCCTTACCTTGGATTATTAAATTTCTTATTAAATTCTTCGTTCTTGAACGCCTCCGAGAACCTCCTGGACGTCGAAGAACTCGCGGGTCCGCTGGGGTTTTACCTCGTTACTCGTAACGCTCGCGGTACGCCGAATGAATAACCGAGCGTAACAGGTGCACGATTCAATGTCCGAAAATCTTTGAAACGGTCGAGCGGGAGGATACGACATTCACCGGACTCGGTAACGTCCAGGAAGCGCATGGAATGCTTTGCAGCGCGGGTAATACGGTGAGTAGCCTCTCCAAACCCTCTTGGCAGTTTCCCTCGAAACCGATGTTTCCTGTAAAGCTCGGCGCGAGGGCAATTATATCTATTCGTATTCAGAGACGGATAGTGCCGGCCACTTTTGCCACGAGCCAATCGAAACTGTACGTCGACCTGACCGAGCCTGCAACTCCTGCGGAGAACGAGACCAACTCCATACGGATGGTAAAGTATACATCGTTGTAACAAATTACGCGGGCACGTCCTATTCTTTCTCGTGGCTTAACCGTCGGAATCAAAGGGATCGCAAGGCGCACGAAAATATATATAAAACGTAGGCGAACGGTTTTACTCGCGGCCCGAAGTTTGCGACTAACCCGCTGAAACGCTGAAAGAGGTTTGTTTAAAAAAGTAAATCGAATTCCCCGTTTCTACTGGGCCGCCCGGGATTTTTTTAATTATTTAAAGAACGGCCGCGAAAAACTTGAAATTCTGGCAAACGAGCGCGTCGCAACCCGAACTCTTCTCCGCGTCAAACATCAACGCCTAGGAATCGCGTTAAAATCCTAACCAACGGAAGTCAATTTTCTCGGAACGCCCTGAACGTATCCATACAAAATGGATACGTTTCCGGAACAACCAAAAATGGCGTCGGTTGGCGCAAATACGGAACTCGGGTAAATATTTATCCGCTTTTCGATTTTATGTACCGTTCGATCGGATCACCGGGGGTTGCGATATTTGAGAAACGCGGATTATTCGTTCTCCGCCTTGTTTGAACGCATTTTCGACGAGCGACTCGCTTCATTTATTTATCCCATTGATTAATAATTCATGGCCGACCTTGCCACGATGGGGCGGTAATTCTCCTTTGGCGAACAATGGCGTCGGCCCGCTCCCGTTGGCTCAATTCCTGCCCTCGCGCTCGCCGGCGCCAAACCGCATCCGAATCCGCTACATCAAACGACTCGGCTCGTTTATTTATTTATTTCATCGAAGCTGCATTAGCTCCGACACTTATTACCTCGAACCCCGCCGGTCTTGTTCGAAGGCTGCGAGCTTTGATGTCGCGAGCGAGTCGCGCACAGAGGAGGAGTCCAACGAGAACGGAATCACGGAAACTTCTCTCGGCGAGCTCGCGAATAAAATGTAGCTCGGGCGGTCCGATGAAACGTAAACCGTTCGCTGATAATTGTCAAAGAAGACCTTCATTAGTCTAATGAAACGAACGAGGCGCGACGTGCCGGCAGACGAGACCAGCCTCTACGGAACGGAGTTCGCGACCGCGCTTTAATTAGAGAAATGAAATTTACAAATCAACCGAAATACTCCGCGCGTTTTGGTCCCGTCTTGAAAGTAGAACCTCCCCTTGTCCCTCCCCGAGAGACGTACCCATTGTATCGCGGCGTCAGAAATTCGGTACGCGTCCCACTTGCGCGGGATGCATTATTTCCTACCTAAATTTTACAGCGGGGATATGAAGATTACAAGGAAGGTCCTGAATCCCGTGCAATTAATTTTTTTATACGAGATGAAAAAATAGCTGAAAAGAAATGTTAGAAAAACGAAATTTCATGGGGATCAGGATCTTCCCTAAGGTCCCCGTATTCGCGTCGTAAAGTGTGAGCCGATTCGGTACACCCAGTTCGGAGAAGCGTTTTACGAACGATTGACTCCTCGGATACCACTTTCGCATCCCCTTAACGGAATTATCGGGCAAAAGTGGAAAGAACGATTCGGAGTTTCCCTCCCCCCGGTTCCAGGGGTGGCCGGGGACGGAGCCGGTTTACCCGGAACGCATCCCTCGGCGGCTCCGCTCGACCCTCGACTCGACCAACGAGCCGAGAACTCGTTTCCCTCGCGATCCCCGAGGAAACGCATTTAGCGCACCTTTTCGCCTCTCTCGCCGAGAGACGTCAAGAGGCGCCGACTCGCGCCCGAGCGAGGCCATTGAAACGTTAATAACACGTGCCAGGAAGCTGCGCCGCTCCGTAACCGAGTAGTCCTCGACAATGGGACTCGAAGGCAAAGCGCCGCAGATCCCTCTTTCTAAGCGTCGTCAAAGAGAGGCGCTCCGAATATTTAGGGCCTTATTCTCCGACGCCGACGCGAAAGCGGGTCGAGGAGGCGCCCCGAAATTGTCCCGAATGCCGGGGCAACCTTTTCGAGGCAGGCGACGTTCGTTCCGCCGTGAATTTGCCTCGATCTCTTTAGGCCGAGAACGCAGGTGTTCGGAACTCGCGCCGCGTGCCGCGAAGAGGTTGTCCACCGATGAGAGGGAAGGGCGTCGGGCACGGGTATACACGCAGGAGGCGGTCGTTTGCCATGCGGCCGGCGTTCGCGCGTCTACTTCCGATCCATCTGGCCCTAGACGGGCGACAAATCGAGTTACCGAGACCCAATACCCGAGACCAAAGAATCCGGCAGGCCTTCCCCGCTCCTAACCTAACCCGCTTGCCGGTCCTTCCTCGCCGTCGGGCGTCGACGCCTCCTCGACGTCGAGGTCGTCAAACGCATTCGAGAGCGAGACCCGGAGAAGCGGGCCGCCTAGCGAAAGATGAAAGAATGGCCGATAAACCCACAATCGCTATAATCGTCGCGGCGTTACCCCGGTCGGGAAGAGCGGACGAGTCGGAGGGAAATCGGCCGGAACGAATTTTGAACGGTTCCGACGACCCTTGGGCACCTTTGTTCCTCGGTTCGTTCCTCGGTTCGTTCCTCGTGGCCCACTTAGGCTCTCCCCTTTCCTCGGTCTCTATGGGCGCACCCTCCTCGAGTCCCCGAGGCGCGAGTCGACGCCTCTCGACGCCTCTCTCGGCGCCTCTCTCGGCGCCTCTCTCGGCGCCTCTCTCGGCGCCTCTCTCGGCGCGAGAGGGGCTAACCGCCTCTAAGAAGGAGATCGCGGGGAAAACGAGTTACCGACTTGTTGGCTGACTCGTTGACCGACTCATTGGCCGCGTCGAGGACCGAAAATGAAGGAAAGTTCCCAAGTCGTGGCCAACTTTTCCCTCGAGCCCCGTCGACTCGACTTTCTTCCGGGGAGGAACGCGGCCGCCTTCTTCCCCGAAACCGCAACCCGGAATACGATTCTCTGGATATTAGACCGTCGTTCGGGCCGCTCGCGTAGACGCGGAACTCTCCGCGAAGTACTCTCCGGTAATAGAGATACGGCTGCCGCGAGGGTGCCGATATATACGGGAATCTTTTCAGGAACATATTGGAGCTCGTTCCAATTCCGTTCTTGCAAAAGGATTCCGCTCCTTTATTCCGCTCCCAATGGATTCGATCCTTTCATTTCGCTCCCGGCGTTCGAGTCCATTCGAGGCCGGTCGTTCCGCGGAACCATGGACTCGGTTACGAGTCGTCCCCGCGACGCGGAGGAAACAATGTCACTCGCGACGTCGCTCCGAGAATATTTTATCGGCTGCGGATCCTAACCCTCGCATCTCGGGCGAACCGTTTTGGCTCGGGACCGACCCACTTCGCGACCCTCCCCGACCCGGAGAGCCCCCTTTAACTCGTCCTACGTTCGATGAAACGAGCCGGAAGCATCCGTTTAATGCAATAAAAGACAGGCAATAAAGGTCGATGTCCGCCATCGAGCCGCGCGAGAGGATCCTCTTTGGGCACGCGTCCCTCGGGAGCCGTAATCGAAACCGACCGGTCGCATCGAGAAAAAAAAATTGGTCGACTCGCTTTGTTTGCTCGATCTCGCGGGTCGCCCAAAACCACGAATCGGTAGTCAGGAGATCGCGCAAAATTAAATATTCCCTAACGTCCGACCAAATCCCGAATGCGCAAAGGGCCTCGACGGAGCAGAGGGTCTCTCGCGAGATTACGCATTCGCAAAGGCGTTTGTCCGAATTCCCGGCAGCTGGCCCAAGGATGGCCCAACCCGCCATTTTTCGGAACGGGGTCTCGCGAGGACGAAGGAGCGATGCGAGGGCTACGCGCCGTTTTGGGGCAAAGTGGTCCCGCTCGAGGAACGTTCATCCGACTAATTCCCCCAGCTCGGGGCGCACTCCGTGGCCGAGAAACGAAGCGATACGTTTGGAAATCGTTTTATTGCGGCGCGCAGGAGATAAAAGTGTTTCATCGCCTTCCCCTCCTCGAGCCCCCCGGTTGCACCTCCACCCCTCGCGGAACAACTTTTGCACCTCTCCCAGGAAGGGAAGTAGGGAATTGGTTTCAACTTTCGAATAAGGCGGGTTGATTGCGCCGGTATCTTTATGGCTGCACGGGAACAAGATGGATCCACTTTCCGACAAGAGCGGCGTCGGACTTAGCCGCCGCGATATCGCGATCCCTCGATAAATATAGGGATAGATATGGACGTATCCCACCTCGCTTTTTATTTGCCCCGAATCACTTACCTCCGATATTTAATATGGTTCCCTCTATGTCGTAACGGTTTTAATATTTGTGCCGGAACTCGAGCGACTCCGAAGAAACTCCGAGTCATCGTTTACCGATCCGTGTGGCCACGTACGTTGTCTTATCGGCTGACGACGCGCGGGTACGAGTCGACTGGCGTCTTATCTGGGAGCTTTGCGCGATCTCGAAGTATGAATAAAACACGGCATGGAAGACAATCCCGTAAATGGGGTGCAAACTAGCCGGCAGACGCGCCTTCTCATTTTTCGCACTAGCTATCTGCAACATTCATAGGCCATTGCTCTCGGTTTGCAGTTGGCCTGCTACGAACGTGATCGCAAATCTACGGACACGGCACATAAGGAGAAGAAGAAGAAGCGACCGAAAGCGAGTGAACGTCGTATCAGTCTTGCGAAACGACGTCAATTGACCAAATGACCTCGACATTAAATGACCATTCCCGGAGACGGCTCGACCGAGGGCTTTGCGTCGAAAGAGGAAGCGGCGCGCTCCAAAGTCCCTTATCTATAATGCAGAAGAGAGAAAAGTGCCCCCCGATCCTTAACCCGATGACCGGTAGAACCGATAGCCTTGGGAACAGGCACGGAGCAACTTTTGCGATTTACGCGGAACGATATAGAAAGTTAAATTCGACTTTGGAACGGCTTACGAGGGTCGCGCGCGCGACAAGAAAATGGCGGAGATCCAGAGAACTTATGTACTTGCGGTACCTGATGTATAATATACTGTAAAATAATTCATGTAATAAAGCAACTTATTGAACAATAACAATGAGTACGTTTAATTAGACGAGCATGTCTAGCAAACCCTCTAATCGCCTATTCCTGATCCTTGAAAATCACTCGTAGATCTAAGGCACGAAACTCGGTGCCACCTCCTCGGTTGTCCTATGATCCTGTTAGAAATCGGAAATTTCAACCCCTAAAATTTTTGCTCGGGAGAAACTCCGTGCCACCTCCTCGGTTATCTTATGTTCCTGTTGGAAATCGGAAATTTCAACCCCTAAAATTTTTGCTCGGGAGAAACACCATGCCACCTCCTCGGTTATCCTATGTTCCTGTTAGAATTCGAAAATTTCAACCCCTAAAATTTATGTCCGGGAGAATTCCGTGCCACCTCCTCGGTTGTTCTATGTTCCTGTTACAAATCGCCAGAGGTGGAACAGGATCATAGGACAACCGAAGAGGTGGCACCGAGTTTCATGCCTTAGATCTACAAGTGATTTTCAAGGATCAGGAATAGGCGATTAGAGGGTTTACTAGACATGCTCGTCTAATTAAACGTACTCATTGTTATTGTTCAATAAGTTGCTTTATTACATGAATTATTTTACACTTTATTATACATCAGGTACCGCAAGTACATAAGTTCTCGAGCTCGTTTTTCACGTTACGCTTATGTTACCACCACCAGGCTGCGCCATGTATACGAAGAAGCCATTCATGACCGCCAGTGTATCTCTTGTTACCGAATTACTCGACAAATGTAAAAACCATTGATATTGTATGGGGGTCGGGAACTTTCTTATAGCCTACATATTCGCATTGCAAAATTTGAAACGGTTCGGTGCCCCCAGCTTCGCGAAAAATATCACAAACGGGACCCCTTTGACGCCACTTTCCCGTCACCTTAATTCGCCGAAGGTGCAGCGGGTTCGCAAAGAGTCGGAGGAATTCCCCTCCGAGGGGGAACGGGTGCGAGGCAAAGGCACCGAAGCCGAAGGGTCTTCTCCGGAAGAACCTCGGCCAGCTAATTTTCACGGGTTCGCGCGCGCAGCCCGGGAAAAGGACGAGCAATCCGTTTCGAAACCGCTTTGCCGCCGCGGAGAGAAACGCGCCCTCCGATCGCAGAGCCCAATAGCCGACCTCCGAGTCGCGTGGAGTAACTTTTGCGCCTTGCGGGACGCGATGTGGAAAATTGGATTCATGTTCGGGTCGGAACCAGGGGAGGTGGTCGCCGACGAGACAGGGAAAAGGGCCGCGAGTAAACGGACTCGTCTACGGGGGCGAATTCCCCCGCCCGAGTCGAACCGAGTCAATCTGAATCTAAAATTAAATCTTTATCCTTTGCGGGGAAACTACGCCGATTCCGATGTCTCGACCCCGATCCTCCATCCTCCTATCGGAGATGTACGCGAGCGAATTGGAATCGCGGAGAGTCATCCGGCATCCGTGGTCAGACGTTAGAGCACGTGGGCCGCGATTACGTAGTATCCGGAGAAAATTTTCACGAGCGAGACCTCTTTGACGCCGTTATCGCGTTCCCTTAATGCCTCTCGTTTCCATCGTCCCGTGATCATCGAGCCATTACGTTACGTTAGTCCCACGTCGGTGCCCAGTGGGCGTCCTCTCGGCGCCATGTTGCCGTCCCGTTGTCATCCGCGCGGATTGACGCTGATTCGCGCGGATTCGCGCGGATTCGCGCGGATTCACGTGGATACGTACGGATCGGAGTCAAAGCTTCGGCCACCTGGGAAATACGCTCTAATGCCTGCGGAGCCGTCTCGGCCCGCCCCGACTGCCTCGTCCGGGTAAAAGGCGCCCACCGGTACCCCGGCTTTTTTTTAACCCGTAAATTACTAGCGGCGAAAACCTCTCGACGCGCGAATTGGGATTGGGGAGCCGCCACGTATCACCGGAACATTGATTTCCCCAGGAGTTTGCGGGCTCGCCCTGGGTAGGTACTCCGCGAGATCGAAATTGCACGCTTTATTTTTGAGGTTCCTATCCCTTAAATAATGACCATTCGTCCGCTTCCGTTGCCGAGTGATTCGATTAAAGCCCTTCTCCATGGACGATTTAGCGTAACGTCGATAAAATAATTTTCGAAATTATATTTTGTCCGATACTCGCGAAAACGTCGAAACGCCGCTCCATCGTTCGTTCCTCGTCTCTTTGCGCGCATAACGCGCTCCGAGGTATTACTCCTCGAAAGAGGGGAACGATCGGTCGCGCGGCCTCGCCGAAGCGATTGCGAGCAACATTCGGAGCGGAGTTCGGTTCGAGAGTTATGAGATCGTAAACAAGGAAAACGGTGGTACTCGGGAGCGGGAAGAGACGGGGAACGCTCGAAAGGGACTGGCGAAGATTTCGTAATCCTTTTCCTCCTTCCGCCCAAAGTTCGTGCTCGTCGCTTCCCATTCTTCGGTCCTCCGTCCCATCCCCGACTGCTTCGAGGACTGGCCCCACAGTCCGGACGCGTGGGTGCCGAGTTTCCGAGCCATTCCCGGCACTTGGAAAAACAAGGAGAAACTAATATTCTCGGTAAACGCACGGCAAATAGTCACTCACCGGCCCCCTTATGTGCCTTGGCAGGGTAATTACCCGAGTTCGGGGCGCGACGGTGGCGCTCTCTAGTCCGCTTTATTGGATTTTGCGCCAACTGCGCGTCTCCTCGTCGTCCCGACGAATGTCTCCCAGAGGGCCAGGAGATAGGAGATCGATGCCCTGGCGAGGCGGTAAGTCAGGAAAACGCCTGCCAGCCCGAGGAGCAGAAGGAATCCGACGACGTCGAGGAGGTAGTATCGATACCAGGCCAACTCGGCCCCCTCGTTGCGCAGATAGCTGACAGGGTATCCTCGCCCGACGAACTCGGTCCACCAGACCGCCGTCTCCAGAGGGCTGGACGGCCGTTCCCTGTACACCTTCGCGAGAATTTGGCTGTTCGAGGTGTATCTGCGAGACAGAAAATCGGATAAAATTAGTACACGACGTTGAATAAAGCCGTTCGAAATTTCGGCGCCACTTTCAATTATCGATCAACTCGCATCTCGCTCTGGAGAAGATGTCGCAGGATCATAATCTGCGGATGTCGTTATTCCCTGCACGTAATTCGACGTGTCAAATGCGCCGCGTATACGCCCGGATGTGCTTCGGCGGCTTACGAGTCCATTTAAAAATCCTCTTAGTCGAATGCAATAATTAATTATCGAGCGCGCGAAGGTCTAAAGTGCCAGCAGTAAACCGTGCGCACGGGAGATCTTATCCTGGTAATCATAGGATAACGTCGAACGATGTTGCACGTGACCAGAGCGCACCCGGGAGTGACTCATCTTTCGATCGGTCGTAAATTATTCATTTTCATTTACAACTATCATCGATTCGATTTCCACCTCCCGACGCGCTCCAAACTGGTTTCCTTCATAATCTGTCCACGTTGGCACTTGTCCCGATCTTGCATTTGACTTTGAATTACGCAATTGCAGTTAATTAGGTTGATTCACTTAACGTTTCGTCCGGGCTTGCCTCGGGCTGGTGCAGTGACGTAGATGCAACAATTCCCAACGGCAAACTGTCCCGCGAGTCAACGACTCTGTCGGAAAGAATGTACTCTCTAAAATTACCAGAGTGTATGGACGTTTTGATAAGCGTATTTCTTAACCATCCCTCGCGTCATCGGATTAACGACTCCAAGGCTCACTTTGAAAAATTCCACCGTTTGATAACGCACGGAGACCGATAAGGTCCCTCAAGGGGAGGCCCAACCGTTCACTCTTCCCACCCACGGTCTTGTTCCTAGTGGTGTACGAATCGACAATTAGTGCCCTCCATTATTCCTGTTTACAACTGTTGACCACGAATCAACCCTGTCTCGTTATTTACCTTAATCAAATCCACTGGACGCTTGGAGTGGTTTTGAATTGACCATCAATTTTGGTCTCCGAACGACCCTTCCCCCTAAACTCGTTCCGCCTATCCTTAAGGCGAGTTGTAAATGGTGGCCAAGGGTCTCGTTTATGAAACTCACTTCATTTATAAACGTTTCTTACATTTTTTTTTAATGAAATTTTATGACTGTCAAGACCTTTATTAGAGCCTCAGTATTCACGTGGAAAAATATCAAACGACACGGTAAACCCAATTCGGAGAAAAGTTTTACAGACGATTGACTTCTCAAATGCAATTTTCGGGTCACCTTAAGGGATAATTTGCCTGCAAGTCCGAAGTCGTAGGTTACATCACCAACGCGGGAAGTCATCCGGTGTCATTGCCATGTCGTGGAAAGTAAAACGTTCCTAACGAGAACTACTGGTCACTCGGTGTTACGTAAGTAAGGTTTACACCGACGTCGAGTGTGGAATAATGGTAACACGGAGTCGTGTCCTGCACGGTGCGGTACGCGGATGACGAAGACTCGAACTCCACTCTTGGCGTGTTCGGGGACCGTCCTGCGTAATATTTCGTCGGAGTAATAATACATGCAGCTGTACCCGGGTACCGCTGTATCGCGTCGGAGCCGGCTGAATAATGCAGCTTTTAATTTCACCGGCTAACTCAGGCCCGAGGTTACTTGTCGACGCAGCACGCCCGAATCACCGTAAAATTTTTACACCGCGCGGAACAGTGTCTTCAAAAAGAGAAGGAGGAAAAAAAGTGAAATTCCGTCGCTGCTTCGGTGACAGCGCCTACCCCTCGGACGCCACGTATGCCGATGAGGAACCGTTTGATTTAACGCGAACGTTTGACGGCCTTTGAACGAACGAAATTTTTCACCGAATCGTTTTCAAAATTTACAACGTGAATATGGAAGCTATAAAGAAGATCCTGACCCCCATGTAATTTCATTTTTTTTTTTTTTTATATAGAAAATTTTAAACCATTCGGTACACCCAATTCGGAGTAAAGTTTCACAAACGAGACCTCCTTGACGCCACTTCCAATTACCTTAAATCAGATGCCCTATCTCGGAGGTGACCAGCGAAATGACGTATCGCAGATCGGAAAACTTCCTCCGCTCGAACGAGAGAACTGATTAGGAATAGACGAGACCCTCGTCGTGACGGGCAAACCTGTCCCTGACAGTTTTCCGTTTTTCCCAATATCTCTGGAGGGGGGCGAAATCATACGCCTTTATTCCTAGAACTCGCCGTCCTGAGACAATGCCGCCGCCTCTGGTGATAATACCGAAACGGACGCGGTTCGACGTGACCAGGAGCCATGTCGTCGCAATCGGAAGGACCTGCCGTCGAACATTCATGGGCGCTTGGTTCGACATTGAAGTAAATGGACAGGAATGCCTCGTTAAACTCTCTACCCGAAAGTTCGAACCTTTCTACTTTCAGCGGTTGCGTTTTCCTCTCCGGGTCTCTTGGGAGCGCTTCCATCAAGGAATGTCGACCCGTACAGTAATGCCGAACACTTAGTTGCCGTCTCGTAGACCGAGAGCGAATTGGACGGGATGGATTGATGTCGCTTACTGCAGACCGACACAGAAAGCAGCCCGCGTAACCGACTCGACCGTATGCGCGACAACGGGAGCAAGATCCGACCCAAATAATTACCACCGATGGGATCGGATCTGCCGCGTATCTCTCGTATTTTCGACAGAGGTAAAACAAGAAAAGCGAAGAAGACCAAAAATACCTGGTATCGTTAAAGACTCTGTCCAAGGCATCTCGAAAGGTCCTCTCGTCCAGAAGGTTGTACGGCAGAACAACGGCGACCCCTCTGGCCTCTGCCGCGGCAACGTTATGAAACTGATCCCCGTACATGGGCACCAGGACCATCGGTACCTGCGCGTAGACCGCTTCGGAGAGTCCCAGGAGTCCTCCGTGCCCCAAGAAGCATTTCACGTTTGGATGATCTGCGGTGAAAAAGAAAAAATGAACACCTACTCTAGGCGCAAACGCGATACATATCGGAACTCGATCACTGCTTACTTAGAACGGCGAACTGAGGCAGCCATTTGGCCACCATGACGTTATCCGGCTTTCCGGGGAGGTCATCGGCCTCCCACTTCCAGAGGACCTTTCTGGGGATGGAACCCAAAACTCGAAGGATGGCTTGCAGCTTCTTCTCGGGCAGACTGGACATTTTGATCATAGAGCCCCAACTGAAGTAGAGTACCCCTTCGGACGCGTTATCGAGGAATCGTCGAATGTCCTGAGGCAGTTGATCCTCCAGCGAGACCTTGCTCGATCCCCATTCCCGATTGAAGTTCGGAATGTGCAAGCCTCCAACGTCGATCACGTTTGGGAGGTGAGGTCTCGCGCCATGCAGCGAATAATGAGTGTTGAGGAGGATGGCCGAAGTGTTCCTGGCGATCTCCCACAGGGGAGGAACTCCTGGACCGAAGGCCTCTTCTACCAGGACCTGGGTTGGCCACTCGTACGCGGTCCTGAAGTACACTCTCGTTAGCGCCACCGTCAAGGCGTTTTGTACTCGTTGCAAAAAGTTCATCTTCCAGGAAAATCCTAGGAAGGAGCAGGGCACGTAGCTAGGGTTCTCCGGGTCTCGGAGGCGCTCTTGAGTCCAGGGCATAATCTGGTGCGACGAGAGCGCGATGAAGGGCGCCTTGAATCTGGAAACGGAAATTCATTTTCATTCTTCTCGTTCCTGAATGCGTAACCATCTGGGAATAGGGGAATCGAGTCTAAAATTCTTAGAGATAATAGTGTCGCATCGCCGAGATAGCGCGACATCGCTTTCAATGTCGACTAAATGTTTTGTTCTTCGATAAATGATAAGAGGAAAAATACCCGCGAGGACGAGCCCGGGTATTTCGTCAAAGGCTATTTCGTTAACAATGCGGTTACAGGAATTCGTTTGTTTTTAAGATACTCGCGTGGATCGGCCAAACAAATTTTCTAGACTTGGGTCGTGCTTAGGATTTCAGAATTACCGCGGAATGGGACATTTTGCCGAGGTAGAGAGACGAGGGATCCGTCACGGCGATAGAGGGGCACTAAAGAGATTCGACCTGCACCCCAGCTTGCAAAAACCGTATCGCGATAAAATAACGACCTTTACCGCTTTTTGAACGCGCAAAAAGTTCCATTAAAAATGTTGCCTTTGAATTGACCACTAACGTAGGGTATGATCATAACCAAGAGCGAAAAAGAAACCACAAAGCCGCTCCCTGTATCGAAGGGACGCGAGTTTTACACTCCTCCATTCAGGGGAAAAATCGAAGCCGACGATGAAGGCTTTTTCCCTTTAAGGTAACAGTCGGCATAAAAACGCGTAACAAGTCTCGGGCAAACGATGCCTCGATATTAACGCATTTAAATAACGTTTGAATATTTCAATTTCAATAAAACCACGGCGCCGCCATTCATAATTCCACTTGGAATAATAAAGCCTCGCGTTCCGCGTTACCGCATTAACGCTAAACCCATTTGTACCATTAAATAATTAATCGAGGACTCCATCTTGTCGAAAAAAAATGCAACGTTTTCGAGCGAACGAATCGTCAGGTTTGACGGCTCCGGGCGGTTTTCTATTTCGCAGAGAAAAATGGCGGACTTCGCTGTTTGCTCTGGACCGTTGCAGCTGGGATTTCACATCGCCTTGATACGGCAAAAAAATTCCGATCCCGGTTCCGATTTCATCGCGTCTCGTCTCGCTCGACGGCATTGCCACCGATATTTTTCCCCGGTTACCTCGTTACTCATTCACAAGGACGGAACGACCCTTCGAGAAAAGTAAATAATTTTACCGCGTCAAGGAAGTTTCCTAAACGTCGAGGCGGTTCGAAGACGACGCCCCTACGTATTTACGCATCTATGGCGAAGGGTAAACTTGGTCATCGACCGGTCGAAATTTCGGCCTAGGGCCGTATCGCAATTTAATAACCCCCTGTCCCGATATGCTAAAACGGCCCATGGTGATGATTTACACGATATCGGACGGCCGTGTTTTATCCCGGGTAATTTCACGCCGCGCGGTTACGCCAACTTCTACCCTGGGCCATGGAAATCCGAACGAACGAGCATTCGGATAAATGTTTATCCGATCGTTCAAGTCTCCGGGCGTCCGCGATTTGGATAATAAAACGATTAGGCGTGCCGGGACTAACGCCATTGCGAGGACCCCACGTCCCCGTCACCCCGGAGTACTCCGGATTCAATATTTACAGGAAGACTGTCGTATCGTCCGTCCACGTTTCATTCGGTCCGCCTTCTCCTTCCAAAGTGCAAACTGCAAGTGCAACTTCTAAATTGGCTTCCGGAGCCAATTTACAGAGGTTGGATTCAGAGCGTAACGGGGACGTGGTCGTTGCCCTAAACCTCGGCTGGATCCTTCGTGTCTGCGACCAATTACTTCCTTACCTGTGCACGAATCCGAGGAAACAGTCGGTATTGAACGACTCCGTCAGGATGACATGGAACGTGTCATTCGAGGCGACGAGGCGACGCACGTCCTCGTTCCTCAGAGCGTCTTCGCAAGCCTGGAGTCCCCAAGCCCTCAAGAGCGCCACCTCCTTCACGACGGAGAACGGCGAGTAGTTTATCCTGCTCAGGTCGACCACGTTGACCCCGTTGCCCATGCCGATCTTGTCCCTGGCCGTCGGTGCCAAGCTGACGTCCCTATAATTTGGCAAGGACTCGTCCTTGGGACCTCGGGGGAAGTGCGAGACCACCGTAACATCGTGGCCTCGCCTCGCCAGCTCGATCAGGAGAGGTCGAAAGAAGTCAAAGTGGCTTTTTCCAGGATGCCCGAAGATGCCCAGAATATTGTACTTGGCCCCGCTCTCCTCGTGGCGTTTGTCGCGGTACTCGGCGAGAACGGACGTCAACGGAAACAGCACCAACAGGAGGCAGGCAATGGCCGTCGTCATCTCGCAACAGGACCCGGACCCCGTTCCGCTGGAACGTTTCATCCGAAGCAGCAGGCCTCTCTCGAGATCTCGGATTCAGGGTTCTGAAACAAGGATCCGTTGAGTCCCTCCATTCCGGAAAAAAATCTGGAGAAAAAGGTGACCGCGGCCCAAAGCGTGTCAAGGGAAGACCTCGTCTCTTGTGGCCCAGCAGTTCCTCCGGCCGGAGCGGCCAACTTTAAAAATAGCCCACACCGGCCGGCAGTTACTAGCAACATCGACCAATAAACTCTGTACTCGATGGAATATTTACCTGGTTACGGCCGCGCCGCGGTGATCGAAGAACATCCGTGGTCGCAGTCTCCGATTTATCGACGCGATCGGACGAAAAACCGTCGGCGAGTCAAATTCACCGGTGGTATTTATCGAAAGTCGGGAGCCGAGGAGGACCGTGACCGCCCTACTTGGCCTTTGATAACGCGATACCTCGACCACGACTACCGGCTGACTGTCTACTCGAAGTGATCGCGGAGCGTCGCCGTGTCGGCCGACACGCGTCGTATGTAGACGTAGATTACATAAGAAAGCGGCACACGTGCGGATACGCCCCTCCTCTCCGGCAATTGAACCACAGCCGCGACTCGACCGAACCGCGATTGTCGATGACTTCGAGCAAATTCAAAACACTGACAAGGAAATCAAGGGGTATCGCAAAACTCGCGCTAGAACGTACACCGGCGTCAGGCGGATGAGTCAATCGAACGCGCGAGAAGAAAAGTGGGGGAGGAACGCCGTTTGCGTCGCACTCGCGCATTTCAATAGATAATACGAAAGATATAAGAATGGCCGAGGTTAGGAAGAAACTTTATCGCCGATGTCTCTCCGTCCCGCGTACCGGGAGATTCGGAAAAAAAAAATACATTTCCGAGTCAAGTCCGCGAGAGCGAAATCAAAAAGACGTTCCAGAATCCTCGGAAGCCTCGTTAAATCTTACGTTCCCGGGGATTTTAAAAGCCCGGGCGAGATACCCGGCGAAATTTCTGGAAATTCGGAAGCCCTCGCGAAAACGGGGTCGGGGGTAGTCGGGACGAGGGGGAGAAGGTCCTTTGAGCGTTTCAAGGGCTCCGGATCGCATCGGAGACGTCCGAAAGCCGTTTGGGTCGCCGTTCGTCCGCTCGGATGTCGGATCGAGAGGAGGTCCGAGGTTTTCGGCTCGCCTTCCAGGCGGAAGCCGTTCGCGCTCGAGGAACTCCAGATATATTTGCCAGCCACTCGACGGCCAAGATCGAGCCATCCCGCTACTTTTTTACCCGGCGGCTCCCTCGTAAAAGTTAATAAGCCAGAGTTTGTTGATCCTCGGGAAATTGCAGCAGCCCGCCACCGTCATGGCGGCGTTTTATGTCTCCTCCCTCTCGGCCTCCTCCCGGGTACCCCCCGGGCACCCCCCGGCACGCTCGACGTTAGACGCGTAGATATTCTTTGTGAGCTCACCTCCACCTGCAAGGACCGAGCCTCGCGGGACGTCGAATTATCGAGCTCCGCCATTATGCAATTCACGTACGCACCGGACGCACGTGGGTCAACCCCTACTTCTGCCGCATTACGTTTCAACGAGTGCGGTCGCGATAGCCGCTATCTCCGTTGTACCGCTAATTAGCGTTAACAAGTTTTTAATGGAAGCGTTCGTAAACCCTCCCCTGACGTGATTTTCGGGCTTGCTCGGACCCCCTGCAAACGAGCTTACGATAAGTGCCAAGCCGTGGTATCTTCCTCGCGACGCTAATCGACCCGGCACGATAGCAAACCCCACGTTGAAGAATATTTGCCTATGATCGGGTCTGAACGTCGAAGCGACTACTTTCGGTCCGACGTCGGAAAGAAATCCGCGAATTCCAGCCGTTTGAGCGACCGAAGACAATTCCCAGTCGATTCCCTCGACTGGCTCTTCGTGACTCCGATCCCCTAAGAAAGTAAACTCCGCCAGAAAGAAGACGTCTGCTCTCCGGTTTTAAATTTCGATTTGACAGGGGAGCTTCTTCCGTAGGGCGTTAAACGTCCAGATTTATTGCCGCATGGCGAATGGCAGCGAAAAGCACCTCCGAGCTCCAAGAACCTCTCGGGAACGACGGCGCCGAGGTTGTGCTCACAGCCAAGCGGCTGTGAAACGTAAACGTTTCCCGAAAAAGGACCGTTTCGACGGAGACACCGATCATAATTGCGGGACGCCGAGGATTAATGGACGATCCGGGGGTCTCGACCGTGCGGCCAATTGCCTTCGCGTTTGCGCGAGCACCGTCGGTTCGAACTGTCGATAACTAATATCGCGGACCGTAGGTTCCCGGTCGATTGGCGGGATATCGATCTCGATCGCTTATGGCCCGTCGAATCGACCGATCGATCGCCGCCATTTTGGTCTTCCAAACCGACCACCGTCTGCGGTCGTTCGAACGCTTTGATCTTCGCGGCTTAATTATCAACATTCGAGCGTTCCTCTACCCTAGTTACGAGTCGAGTACTTCGAACCTCTCGAGTCCGTCTTTTCTATCCATTTTGGTCGCCAACGCGTGCCCGACGTAGAGCCGAGCCGTCGCTGAAAAGTTCCTGCCCAACTTCGCTTCCTCCAGTCCGGCCATAGACTTCCGGGACGCCCTGCGTCTTCCGGACTCAAAACTTGCACAAAGTACAGCCGCTGGGTCCTAAGAAACGGGAAGAGAAAAGATTAAGTCGTTTCCCCCTTTATATCCTTATCGACTATTCCAGGCTCAGAGAACGAACAACCCGTTAAGGGAGGGCGAAAGTCGCATTCGAAGGGCCAATCGTTCATGAATCTTTTTTTCAAACTGGGTGTACCGAATTATTTCAAATTTTACGACTTGAACGTGGATGCCATAAGAGAGGTCCTGACAATCGTGATATATTTTTTTTTTGTAAAAGAACTTGAAAATATCTGTAAAGACCTCGGATTGGAAAGTTTCACCCTTTAAGGGCCTCCGAATCGACTTTTCGATTTCTCGCCGTCTACCTCGTCCCTGTCAGGGGGCAGCGCGCTCTTTTCGGACGGTCCATGGCGGCGCATCTCTTTCCACGGGTCGCCTCCGCTCCTTCCTCCTTTCCTGCCGACAAATCCCTTTGCGTTGAATCGTGAATGAGGTGCGATAAAAATTTGAGACCATAAACGAAACTCCGAGGGCGAGCCAGAGAGAGGAAGAGGGATGCATCGCTCCCCGGGGAAATTCGGGGCCGATCTCCGTGCATCGGCAAACCCACGCGAGTACGCGTTTAGACGGAGGTATGTACCGCTCTATAAAATTACCCGTGTAACAACGGGTACCGGGCCACCGCTCGCAGCCTTTAACAATGGAGCGAGGTTGCCTTCGCGGGAGATTCGCGTGGAGACGTTATTTCATTGGGTATGTACATCTGCCAGACATGCAGTTAGCGATAAACCTCCCAGTAAGTACGTCACGTGACTACACCTCCGCACCATTCGTGCAACCTGTTTCGGGACGACGCAACAACGCTCGTTAATATCCCGACAATGGGGACATTTTAATTACGCGCGTTACCGCGAAAATGAATAAAGCGAATAAAATTACGGGCCGACGTCGCTCCACCCTTGAGCTCGGATTTCGTCGTATCGCGGTAAAATCGGGGGTGCGAGTTATCACAAAGAAATTGGAATTTATGGCGCGCGTTCCATGCATAAGCAATCGATACCGTCTACTTTGCAAATTCAACTGCTTTTACATTTTCTCTCTTCGTTTACCCGTTCCTTCGGTCGCGTCGCTTCTCCGCATATCTCCCGGCGAGTAGATATGAAAGTTTCATGCGTACAAATACATTTCTCCGAGAGGTCTATGTCTTTCCGAATCACGTCCCTCCCGAATGACGAATTCTCGCGTGATCCGTTCCGGCGTCATCGAGACGGCACCGAAAGGGGCATTTTTGAGTTTCGTGGGTTGTCCCATACCATCCTACTTCGCAGGTATGAAAAACTCGATAATTAAATCCTCGCCGACTTTGACTTGTTACGCGATCTTCGCAAAAGGTGAAAACGGGTCATTTTGACTGTCCAAATGAATATCGAGTGCCTCGTTCGATCTTCCCCTCAAAGAAAAACTGGATAAAACCAAGCCGGAATCTTCACCGATCGTAACGAACGACAGTCAGCACCGGTTAAAGAACCTCTCTATTTTCAATTTCGATGACGTTCTAGCAGGTGAAAGAAGACGAACGCGTGGACCTTCCGAGGAATAACGTGCAGAACGTATTACCGTACTTTCGGGTGCTTTATCTCGCAATCGCCATCGCTGCTTGGGTTCTTGTATGTACATACGTATAATTTCTTTGTATAGTGAGCAAGGTCGCGAACGCGTCGTGTGATACGGCGCCGAGAAAGTGACGCCACCTCGCGGTGCGCGCGACAACTCCGTAGTCAACCGAGGGGTGGTTGATATTTAAATTCCAGGAGCCACTACGATTCTACCGTGTAAGAAATATGACGATCGAGAGTCGGAATGGCGAGGACGGGAAAAAGGAATCGAAGACGCCCGCGGATTCCTCGATATCGATCGCGTCAACGGACGCGGAAACCGCGCACGAGTCTCCGGCGCTGCGCGGCACTCCGCCAAGCACGCCAAAAGATGGCGCGAATTTTGAAAAAGCGCTTCTGCATTACGGCAGCCGTAAAGGTTTCGTCGTGGGTCTGTTCCTCCTGTGCGCTTCTCCGGGGATTCTCAATGGATTTCACGTGATGGTCTACGTCTTTTACGGGCACACGCCCAAGCACTGGTGCTCCGTAAGGATCTTGGAAGAGGCCGGCTGGTCGGCGAGTGAAGTGCGGAACGTCTCGAGCCCGACGTACGTGAATTAATTGAAAACGTGTCCCTTTAATCCAAGTCCACTTTCTCATGGCAGATAATCTTTGGCATTATTTTTTTTCAGGCCCGATGAATGGTCTAACTGCGCCTATTACGTTCGGAATTACGAATTTCTGCGCGATCTGGGCTACGATGAGGCCATGTTACGGATTAAGCGCGAAAAGGAGCCGGAAAGGGTCCTCTGCAAAAGATTCAACTACGAAATGGAAGAGAGGGGCACCTCCGTCGTGGCGGAGGTAATAACTTCCTATTTATCGACGAGTCGATGTTATTTTTAATATTTTACAGTGGGATCTCGTCTGCGAGCGACTTGCCTTGAAAGCCACGGTACAGACCGCCGTATCCATCGGCAAGTTCCTGGGAGCCTTCTGGTTCGGATTTCTAGCCGACAAATACGGCAGAAAGACCTCGTTTACCCTCGCTTCCTGTATCTGTATCATCGCTGGACCCATCGTGGCGTTTGCGAGCCTTTACTACATCGTGGTCGTCGCCAGGGTTTGCCTCGGGGTCGCGGGTCTCGGACTCTTCGAGAGCGCTTTCTCGATCGGTAATTAGAATCCAAATGCAAATGAACGGAGAGCCTGTACCGGATCTTGGAACATTCTACGCCACGGCATGCCCTCGATCCACCGAGAACACCTGCGAAGAACGTATTGTTACGCAACGTATAATTTTAAGGAACGTTTCCTTGGCTCATTCGAAATTATTCTACAATTATATATTACGAGGAACGTAATTCCACGTTACGTTAAATATCCCGAACTCCTACGTAACGCGAAATACCTTGCTCGGTCAATTTCTAACGCGTCGAAAGTGGCCGTACACGACGACTAATTTTTCTTCTCGACCCCGATCCGAGACAGTCTCCGAAATCTGCCCTCCGAATCTACGCTCTACTCTGGGAGTCCTCTACAATCAAAGTTACCCCCTGGGGATTGTCGGAGTGGCCATAATTGGATACTACGTGAGAGACTGGAGAAGATTGCAGCTTTGCATCTCTTTGCCGGCCCTACTTCTGGTCTTTCACATATTTCTGATACCGGAGAGTCCGCGATGGCTGTACTATTCGGGCCGCAAGGCTCGCGCCTGGAAAATCGTGGGTAAGATTCGTTGCATGCTCAATCCTTGAAATTTCGTTCTCAGACAAGAGGAAAATTGCATCAAGGTCGGAGATTTAAATGGCTTAAAATCTTTTATTAGAAACGCATCACCGCTTTATGCGCTAGACAAGGGAAGTAACGATGACACGGTTGTACGCATATATGTACACAAATTATTTTAGCAGATACAATATCTGACGTGAGGATACTTCTCTGCTAACGTTAATTAACGATTAAATTCCCTGCCCCATATTTCATTCGATCGGAATATAGTGGAGTTAAGTCCAAAATGTCATATATCCCATAAACGGTTTTCGAAGTTTTTTTTTTTTTAAATACAATAGAGACGAACAAGGAATATACCGACGAACACGACACTGATAAATCGATGGCCTGAACACTGTTGAAAAGTGAGCTAAAATCCTCGGTGAAAAATCCGGGTGGTAATATCGTAATTTCTCATAAATTCGTATTATTAAGGAACCCATGCAGAAAATATACCCGCCTCGCCTTAGGTAAATTTCTTCCTGTACAACGAGTCTCTTCGACATCGCTCCCGCAAACGGTCGTCGACGAGAATGCGACGACGTCGGCCGACGTCAACGTGGACGAGGTCGAGATATCCAATCGGACGGCTTTCGTGATAAGCTGGTTTGAAAAACTCAAAGTGACCGTCTCCGACAATTTAGCATTCCTCGAGGACCGTCACTTCAGGCAAAGACTCTTCGTCTGCTGGGTTATCTGGTGCTTCACCGCAATGTCCTACTACTCTTTGACCATCAATGCGGATCTTCTTCACACGGATCCATATCTCTACGTCTTGCTCTCCGGTAACACCTAGCTCTCTCCCACGCAAACTATTTACTTGACATAAAAATGATCATACGGTATTCAAGCGATAGTCTCGAAGGGGTTACGATTTTTCTCGCCAGTTAGAAGATACGGATTGCAGCTTGTCTAAGCGTGATTCGTAATCAAATTGTCATAAATAAACCTACTTAACTACTTTCCCATTTTGGTCCTCGCTGACAGAGTGAACCATGGATTTCTACAAATTTTCCTTAATCCCATGCACTCTTCCTTAACATAATTAAAAAATATACTAAAAATCGAGATAGTGATCATTTGTGTCAATGGGATTCGATCTAGAATCAGAAGACCGCTCGACGTTGTTCCGATTCTACCTTTCTTCCAGGACTAATCGAGGCTATCGGTTACATCCTTGTGGTGCCCATCCTCCGACTTGTAGGAAGGCGAGCGGCGGCCTCTACGCTCTTGCTCGTAGCTTCCGGAACTCTCTTCGTTCTCCTCGTTATCCCACCCGACATGACTATTTGCACGCTAATCACAGCTCTTGCTGGCCGGCTGTGCGTTAGCGGTGTCTTCAGCATCGTGATCATCCACGCGTTCGAGCTGTTCCCAACGGTAACGAGGAATACCGCGATCGGCACCAGCTCAACCATGGCGCATTTCGGGAGCATCTTCGCTCCCTATCTTGTGGATTTCTTTGTAAGTATCTTATGTTAAAACCGCCACCTGGATCGACACTTCACCTTATTCTAAAATCTTTACAGGTCATTTATGGATGGTGGGTGCCAAGTACCATTTGCGGACTTGCCCTCTTAATAGCCGGTTTGGTCGCTCAAACCCTTCCCGAGACCAAGGACCTGCCTCTGTACAATACGATGCGGGACCTTACGACAAGGTGTCGTTCCAATAGAAAAGAACGAGTCAACCTAGGAAACTGTTTGCCTTGTTACTTATATGCTTTATATAAAACGCGTATCGACATACCGTCGACTCAGCAGCGATCCGTTTCTTCGGCCTCGTCAAATGTATACATATAAATGAACGTTCCAATGGAAAGATCCGTAATTCGAGGTCTGGAGATAGCGTCAATCGACTTCCAGGTTGTGTTAAGGCGATTAAACGCTACAGCTGATTAAACGATAATCACCATATTGTTCGTGTATGCAAGAGTCAAGTGCTCAGAGAGTGTTATCACCGAGCTGGCGAGTTAATTATCGCTTGAGGAACGAGTGTTTCGACCGTAGAGACATTGCTATAACTTTGTGAGGTAATCTCAGCACAGTTTCAATAGACAATGAATTACAAAAGCCTCCCAAAAATCGTTCGGTATTGGGCACTGGGACTAATAACGGTCGAAAACGATTGAAAGGAAGACAGAGTGGTAGCACTCGAAACCTCCATCAAGTAGTGAACCCTAAGTTTCTTCGCCCTTACCTAACTCTATGTTACACCAATTTTGGTCTATCGACGTACTGCTTTCCGTGATGAATAATGGTAGCAAAGGTGCCGGCCACCATGCCACCCCAAAAGAGAATATACAGAAGGACTTCGGTGGTAAATCTGGATGGCAAAATTACGTGAGCGATCAGCACCGACGAGGCGATGAGGAGAACCAGAGGGAATGTCGCGTAACGCCAGCTGCGTTCTACTTCCAATGGGCATTTGATGGTCAGACACTCGCCGTCTTGCACGACGTAGCGCCCTAAAAATAATTCTAGCGAATCCTGCAAAAAAAAATCATAAATTTTATTACAAACGGTTCTACCTACACGACTAATTTGAGTTCAATATGAGCCTCACCTGCCTGTAACCATCGGCAAAGTTATTTTTGTAATATCTTGTCGCAGAATTTACTCCATCTTTTAAAGCCCCCAGTTTGGTACGTTTTCCGGTACGAGTGAAGTCAGTTTTCAGAGCACCAGTGCCAGAGTACTGAATGCTAACTACATCGGCATTGTCAGCCCATACCTGTAAAAAATGTACATACAAGTTAATGTGGTTAATTATTTAAATTTAACCTGGAAATTAAAAAATATTACTTAGATCGTACCTGCTTGAATTGGTACTCGAAGGATGGATGCTCCTCGAGTCTTCTGAGAATCCCTAGTCGATCCAATGCTTCGACGAGGGCTTTCTTAGCAATCATGCTCTGAACAACATTTGTTCTATCTAAGCAATCGATGCAATTGGTTCGGAAAGTCCCATCCTGAACGGATAGCCGGGCACCATCCCTCGATAGAAAAAAAAATCCCATTTGCTCCTGATCATGTGTTAACCGATCCATTAAAATGTTTAACCGGTCCCAGCGCATCTTTCGACATTCGGCATGGAAATCAAAAGACTCGTAGCGAACGTTCTGGTTACCTATTTGATACACCATATCCCGGTAGGCTTTCTCCAGTACATCTTCGGCACCGGAATGATCGATCTGTTAATCATCTAGACTTAATTACCCTTCTGCATTTAATGCCTGTATCTGGTACGATTTGACCTTTAAATAACTTACCAGATTTACCAAAATTTGCTTTCCGTAATGAAATATTTGTGCATCAAAGTGTCTCGCACAGGCAGTTTGATGATCCTCGTGATGACTTAGCTGTGGCTTGGGTTTATATTTCAAATTCGGTTCTTGCTGCCAGAACAATGGAATCGATCCTCTGGTCTGCACAAAGGAACTTCGATTTCCACCGACTTCGATCAGTTGCTCGGTTTCGACGTAATTCGAAACATTGCCATTGGAATCGATACCACGTGAGAATAATCTGGTACCTGCACGATGTATACTGCGCCGGGAGACAAGACCCCAATTTACTGCTACGCCATTAACGATAACAGTGTTCAAAGACACAACTGATTTAGCTCCATTAAGGAAGTTTCGACAACTAAATGTTTATAAATACATCTATTATTAAAAGGATACAGCCATGTATAATCGGTAAACAAAACTTATAATGTTCAGGTCTTGAAGTTAAATCTTGCAAGAGATATGCATTCCACACAAACCTGGGATCTGCTCTATCATGCAGAGGCATCTAAATAATGTAATGGAATGTAAAATCTGTTTTTTCATTTAAATATAATATGCATCACCGAATAAGTCTCTTAACCTAAAATACTAACCTGTAAAAACTCTGGTGGAGTATTATGTAGTCTTTGCATAGTGTGACTAAGATCGTACGTGTAACTAAAGTAAAAATATGGCGTGTTCAACACAGATTTTATCATTTCCACATAAGTGGTATTATTTTGGATCTGCTTTTCATTTAAATGAAGCGTCGATCGGGCATAAGGCAAAACTTCTGTTGAAACTATTTTAAACACTTGTTGACCCGCGATGGTGCCTAGCTTCTCTGCCTCTGTAATCACTATGAGATATCGACATGCCAAGAGTCGAATACTTCCAACTATTCCCCATATCTTCCGACGACTAGCTGTTTGAGAAATTTGTCCAATACTACCGGCTACAAAAAAAGTAATATCATATAACAGCTAATACCACCCCTGGGACATTTTTTCAATAATTTAGTATCGTAATACCTTGAGTATAAATCTGTTGGCTGACTCTGTCCACTACTAGTAACACTTTGAAGCCAAGAGGTTCGATATAAAACTTCTCAGGGGTCGTGTACCTGTAACACAGGAAATTCACGTTTACTTAGAGATTGTGACAGAGCCCTGTTCTTCTTTTAAACAAAAAATCCTGAAAATGAGGAACTGTCACTTGTTGCTTGACCAATTTCATGGAGTGTCATATGTAAAAATAAAGTACACTTACAAGTACAGGTCGTCATAGACGTCAGCGTTGACTGTCATTTTGCCGATCTCTCTAAGTCAAATATTACAAGGTACGAATTAAATCCACTTCTTATAAACGAAGATTTCACGTAATCAACGAAAATGATAATGGTCAACGAGTCCACCACCACCGATCATGCCATAAAATTCATTTTCGTAGTATTGCATAGTATTGCCAGAGATGAGTTGGGAAATTGCTCACGGGCAAGGTCTCGCGATTGCGTTCTGTGCTGCCTTCGGTGAAGCATGTAGGCGTCTCATGCACTTGCCCCCCGTTGGCGGCCTAACTCAGGGATCTAACTTATCTCTGCTCCCAACTTGTTCTGCGTATCTATGAGGAGTGCTCACTTCTCGCACTTTCACGTCATGTGAATTTATGCACCCGATGAGTACTCCAGAGTTCTCTCATCTTCTCACTCATGAAAGTTTATGATTCAAGTCGAATCCCAGCAAATCCCTGGAATCAAGTAAATAAAGTAAGGTTAAATTTAACATATTGAGTTGTATGTTCGAAAAGCAGTATTCAATTATATTACAGCTTTTTTTAACCGTAATATTTTTGTTTTTAACTGTTTGAACATACGGATTGTATGAGAAATGGTGATATAATAATTTTCAAGATATGTTAGGATAAGTTAATATACTTCTATTTCTGATTGCGCGTTGATGTTTTCAGTAAAGGGACATCATGCTAATTCAACAGTTAATACTGAAACGAGGATTTCCCGTTTCAAGTAGGGTATGCATCTACTTAAGATACCTTTCTCACTCGGTAACTAAGGAAGACACCGATTTAATCAGTCATTTGGATTTGAGGTTATCACCCCATATAAAACGACAGCCACAAAGAGAGCCATTTGTAAAGAATTTTATGTTGGGAAAATTTGATACGGAACTCTTGGCTTATCCTGAGGTTACTTCCGATAGCAGATTTAAAGAATTTAATGAATGGCTGAAAATGATCCAGGACTTTATCAATTCATATTTTACCGAAGAGCAAAAGAATGGTACGGCACCATTTCCCAGTGACATGCTAGAGCGCTTAAAGGAATTAGGTTTATTTAGAGCTAAAATAAGCGAAGAATATAATGGTCTGAATCTGTGTGAAACGGAATGTACACAATTGGCGGAAACGCTTAGTTCGGTATCATCCTTGGGTAATTACTTTGTAAAGCACATAATATCACCAGTTTATCTGATTTCCAAATATGGTACCGAAGAACAAAAGAAAGAATATTTGCCAAGGATAGCAATTGGTGATTTGCTTCCAACGCTATGTATTCAGGAAACCAACAGTGATATAATAGCAGGAGAATTTCACACAACAGCTACTCTATCGGATTGCAAAAAATTTTGGAAACTGAATGGAGAGAAACTTTACGTACCGAATGGTGAACATGCAAATCTTTATGTTGTATTCTCCTTGTGCTTGCAAAGCGGGGATATTTACAAAAGAGATAAAACTTTATCTGTATTATTAGTAGAAAATTCAACCAGTGGCATTAGCTGTGAGAAACCAGTATCCACCTTAGGTCAAAGTAATTTACAGCTGAACAAAGTTATTTTTAATGATATAATCGTACCTAAACATAATCTATTGGGCGAAATTGGTTCAGGTAACTCAATTTTATTAGAACTTCTTAGCAAGGAGCATTGTTATCTAGGAGCACAATCGGTTGCCCTGTTAAAGGGCTTTATGAACCATTTAACCAACCATGTTATTAGCAGACAACACAATAATAAGCCGTTCCATGAATTTCACTCAGTACAGGAAGTTATAGGAAAGATTTCAAGCTCATTATATAGCCTTGAGAGCATGACGTATTTTACAACTGGAATGATGGATACATATGAAAACCCTGATTGTCTAGTTGAGAGCACCATTGTTTGGTTGCATTCTGCGAGAGAATGCATAAATAACATTTATCAAGGTCTGGAGGTCATTGGACCTCAAGCTTATTTAAAAGAGTATCCATACGAGCGATATTTAAGGGATGCATTAGCATTATCGTTAATGGAAACGCCATTAGCCGACAACGATACACTCATTGCTTTGTTGGGATTACAGCATGCAGGAAAAGTAGTCCATAGTGACGTCTTGAAATTCAGGAATCCCCTCATGTATCCCAAATTTATAATGCAACGGTTTATGTCTAAGTCGAAGGAAGTCAATCTCCACTTAAACGAATATCTACATCCATCTTTGGAATGGTGTGCTATTCTCCTAGAAAATACTATAGACAATCTTAAAAAGTCTGTTCATACTGTGTTTAATCGTCGTGGAATAACAGTGGTAGAACATCACATGGATCTTAAAAGATTATCAGAAATAATGTCGTGTGCATTCTCACTGACATGTGCTTTATCGCGCGCCTCAAGATCATACTGCATAGGCCTTAGGAATGCAGACCATGAAATGGACATGTGCAAGGTCATTGCATATCAATTCAATGAAAGGATAACAAGAATTAATCAAGACCTTAATTCCGATGAAATACTAAATGGTGATAGAATTTATCAACAGGTTTCTAAAGGTGTATTCAAGAAAAAGGATCACGTTACCGAACATCCTACTACTAGAAATTATTAAATTTTTTCAGTTGGGTTTTTCTTCATCAATCTCTTGATACAATTTCTTATACATATAGGTAGTAAACTATGTAAGAGCAATTGAGTTGAAAATTTATGCAATAAATGTAATTTGTCTATCATTATCCGAAATAAAAATTTCACATTGCCATTCACTATACAGTATTGCGTTTCAATTGTTATATTATAAAATCAACTGGTTAGTTAATGGATATGTAGAAACTATGAATAGGTTGATGAACTTTAAAATGGCTTTTATTTGTTTACAGCTAGCTTGTACATAAACAAAATGCACGTACGATCATTAAAACAAAGATAGAAATCGAAATGCAATCTGTGTAAAAGATGTAAACGTAAAAGGATGAGTATTTATTATTTATCATAAATAAATAAAATGCTTTACCATAATCCCTGTAGGGACGTTTACTTCCATACTTCCTCATGGCACATAGTGTATTCAAGACAAAGCTTCTACAACTGTGGAAAAATGTATCTATGGTTTCCCTGAATATCCACGTTTTATGGAACACCCATCTAGACTGAGACTTTCAATGCTTAAATACTACTGCCTTTTGTCACAGACTTCTTTAAAAGTTTTTAAAATACAGCATACTTCCATACCTAGAGCACGTTAAATCAAACGTAGTTTTCAAATAAATGCTCTATAAAATCGACTTTTCTACTCATACGAGTTTATCACATGATTTGCTATCAAAGTACAATCTATTGAATGACAAATGTCTTCTCGAGTGTACCTGTTTAAATGTTCACCTTCCTTCCACTGTACAATGACGTCACTAACTTAACGAAAGTCAATGAAGAGTCTACGTGTGATAAATTGATACCAACAATGTCAATAGTTTTGTTCTATAATAAATTTAGTAAATGGCTACATCAATTTTACAGTATTGATATAGCAAATTAATTGCATTAACCAATTATATGTAAACGGTTAAATGTAGTAACTATTTATCAAAGCAATCAAAGACAAAAATATAATAATATTTATACATCGTAAATCATGTTTCCCCATTCTTTTGTGTTTGTACATCCTCTGCATATGTACATCAAAATCGACGGGTTTCCGAATTCGTGCAGTCTCTTCACGACTCTCAGCTTAAAACATGAAATATCGATGTACCTGCATTGCAAGATGTTTTGTCATTCGATGAGTGGTGGACGGTCCTTTTTTACGTGAAACTGGAATCACTCTAGCAGCTGTTAAAATTGTTTCGCTATTGAAGAAAGATTTTCGAATCGCGTGACTACAATCTTTCTGCTTGAACGATTACGTGCTCCTCCCTGTACGAATCGGTTGAGGACCAGCAGCTTCGCACACAAGTAAATATCAAGATGGTACCAAATTCAATTTGGAAGGTATGGTCACTCTTCATATTTAATTTCAGCTTAGGTATAATTGTTGGAAGAACTTGCAGCTCAAAGATCATTTCATCACCGCAGTGTTTACACCTGCCAACACAGCCACCCATAGGATACAGCAGCAGAGCTGCATTATTATCACGAGCATATCTGTGGAATGCAATTGCTGAGTGTCAATACCCGATGTAAATGTATATTTTATTAATTAACATAAACGATTGCGAATAAAGAATTGCTATGAAATAACTTAGTAAATACGAGCGTGCCAATATAATACTAACCTTAAAATATGTCCAGGATTTCTTTGTATCCTACACAAAAAATTATGGAACATTTCATCACCATGTAAGGGAATGCCCTTCTCATACTTCTCGGCACTAGTGTCAGTATCTTTGCTGCTATCAGATTCTGCTTGAGGATTCACAGAAGAATCTGGATGAGCATGTTGATACTCGAGGAACAGTTCACGAACATGTTGCGATGATTCGACGGATTGATCTTCCTCGTCGACTGAAATGAATATTTCTACAAAAGTCAAAGCCCCTTCGGCCTTAGACTCAACGAGTGGCATGGGAAGTGGCATAACTTCATGGAGTAAACTAACTAAATTGCATTGAGGTTGAGTTGGAGTATCTATGCAAACGACTTCACTTTCTTCTCCTTCTATTTCAGCAGAAGCGTATGGCGAATCCAATCTTCCTACAGCTCCACCGCCAACAGGAGACTCTATACTAGCTGGACTAAAACAGTGATTTAATGAAATTGTTACATGTAAATAGAAATACTTATGTATATATCAATATATATATTCTTACAAATCTATAATTACAATAATTATTTTAACATACCTATTAGCATTTGGATCTTCTACTTGCAGGTTGCCAAATTCGTCATTCAGATCGTCATCAAAGCTAACACTTTTGGTCAAGAGATGAAATTTATTTGAATCATCCATCAAATCATTTCCATTTTGTTCGGATGCATTGTCATTCCAATTATCCCCCCAGTCATCGGCATCGGTCAACCAGCTTGTTGCAGATGATGGAACTGGAACGGTTGTAGTTTTAACATTTTGTGGAGTGCATTCTTCTTCGAGTGACTGTACTCTTAAACAAGTCCAGCTTTCATTCTGATTCCAGCAATTGGGATTAATGCATGAAAAAATGTACAGTGTCCTGTGATACTTTGACACATCCAGTGGTACATAAAGCTGAAGTACCAGTAATTGATACAATCCACACAACCTGCACTGAGGTGCCGATGGAATGGTTTCATTGTTATGCCAATCCTGTAAAATAAATCAGAAAATAAATTTCATTACTACGATTTAATGCTAGAGGCTTATCCTTTATCTAAAAAATAATTTAGAACGTCTTGATCGCAACATTCCAATCACTACTTCTTTTATAAAAGATAATTTTAACAACCCACTGTCTGCACCTATAGTAGCCATATCATCGTACGTGCTAGACATTGATCATGCTTGAAAACAAGGTAACAATGTCGATCATCAAGACATTAAGAAATAAACACATAATTAATAAGGAGTGCTTACTCATATCTAAGTGCCTCAGATATAAATTTTTATTTTGTCTTTGCTTCAAACTCACCGGTTTACCACCTATCTTGTTCGTTGTAAAATTGACCAGAGTGCGATGCTTCTCCATAATGAATTCATCCTCATACCCTAGGTTAATTACAGGACGATTATCGTAAGCCATTTACGAGTGTTCTGTCGAATATTTGCTTTAGTGGAAGACGTCTGGAACAAGTAAAATCCCCTGAAGCATTCTCGAAAATAATCTCACAGGCATTGTTATACTTACGATGCTGACAGCTGACATGCGTCAACAGTGCTCGACGCGTGCGCTTTTGGCTTCAGGATATCGATTATGTGCGGAACCGCATAAACCCAACGGACACACGTATATGGAGTTAAATCGCTGTAATAAAGTTAGCCTCTTAAAAAGTTTCACTCACTTATTAAGAAAGCGAATTCGAACACGTGCACGCCGGTCAGATATAGGTTAGGGTTCCCATGGCAATAATTTAAAAATTAGTTTATTCCAAAAAACATTGACGTATGAGTGAGAATAAGCTACTCTTCGTAACTGCTCGGTATCATTTTCTCCTCCAATGCAAATTCTATTAATTACTTTCAAAAACGTGTATTTGTATATTTCCTAAAAACCGTAATTGCATTCGATTACATTGATATCAGCTGATGATCTGATAATAATCCAACGAAAAAAATTATTCAGTTCGCGACACTAGAAGATACTATGTATTTAATTTATTAAGCCCATATAAATATAAGCTTCGGTAAGGACCGCGTGATGGCAGCACACGACATCGTTGCATAAACCGCATCGTGAACGATTTGTCTCACCTGATTTATTCATGACACTTGTTTGAGGCAGTTTGAGGGGTGCTGATTAACACTAACGAACACTAACGAAGGCGGTGGACATCATTTCATTTATCATTCGGGATTCTGAGACAGTTTCATAGTTTTATATCTTTTATTACTCCGAATCGATGCTATAATTAAGTTTTGGCGTCGCGATTAATATTCGAAACGGAAGACGGAGGATTTTAGATAACAGGCTTGTTGTCTGACACCTAGGTATCCTTGTGAAGTAGTTTCTTACACAAAAGACTTTGCACACTACCCCGGGAGCAAGGAAGTGTATTTATCCTGGGTGTTCGTCGAGTGACCATTCTGTAGTGAATCGGTTGAACAAATTACAGAAAGATCCCAAACGATTGTGGTATACTCGCAGTAGTATCCAATCGGTAAGATAATACTTAACGCATCCCGTTGTTAAAACGACTAAGCTCCACGGAGTTGCAGGACTATATGGGATTCAACATTCGCGATCTGGATATGAATCAAGTTAGAGAAGAGCTAGCTGAAAAGTTGGGCCTAGAATACAAAGACGATGCACACAATTTGCTGAACAATATGGTCGACGTAAGAGCGTGCTATAAACCCAACGAAAGAGTAAGAGCATATTATCACTTGCGACTTGAATTTACACGTAGTTTGTATATTTTATGTCATTGGACTTTTGATTTATCCCGACTCCCATATATCGACCTTAAAGTTTTCAACCGGTTGGGTTATACGAATAACTCGCCGTTTGAAGACATTTTTAAAGTAGTACATTCGATCGCGCGTACCGCGACGTTTCATCTTGCATCAAGCGTATTTCCTCCGATCGATTTAATTTCCTTGCTTAAGTATTCCTTGCAGAAATCAGCTTCTCGTCAGCCTATGTTCCTGCATGATTTATTGTGCTTACACCTGTTTCGTAAAAATTGTATTTAATGGATTACGCGAGCCATCGGGCAATTTAAGAAATCGAAAACCTTAAACGCTACATTTTTGTGAACCTCTAAAACGGCGGTACATCAATGACCAATCGTTTCATTCTCGGATGGAAGACTCGCGATACAAGACGCAACACGATTCGTCATTTATCCGTTATTTCGATCAAGTAGTCCAGCTATCACGGATAAAGACCAAAATTATCTCGATACACCTTAAGGATAACGAAAAGATTTAAGCGTTAACGGCGCTCGACAAAAATCTATTTAATTGCAATCGTTAAACGTTAAATCAACGAGATCGCGCCTAATACCGGGAGGAAAAGTAAGGGAAATCGAGAGGTGCGAGAAAAATGCCCGTTCGGTTTTTCTTCCTCCGGTCTCGGGTGCTCTCTTGGCACCGTGCCGCGGCGATCCTTTCGAATCGTGTTCCCGTAAGTCGCGATCGTCGCAGATTCTAAGGTCGTCGACGATTAATCCGACTCGGGAGAAATCCTTGTTCGTTAGTCGTTTTCACACTTTCCTCTCGTTCCTCCATTACGGATTCCGCTCGAGTCTGGAAAGCATATCGCGAGTGCGCCTAGGCGTCGGTCAAGCCGGAAGCACTCGGGGTCGTTCCACCGTACTCGGGTGGGCAAGGATGCGCGCACTCGGTGCGACGGTACGCTCGTTAAGCCGGGTAATTAGGTTAGGTTCGCGGCCGCTACCGCTCCGGTAAAAACTTCTGTCCTCGATTATCGGGCTTAGCGCGCGAATCAATTTCTAGACGAGCGGAAAGATACGGCATCTGCTCGGGGTACGTTGGATATCGGAACGCGTCTTTCGAAAACGATCGGCGTTAGGAGGTCTCGTCGTTCCCCCGACCGTTCCTTGGATCGGCGCGGATCGGCGCGCGCTCCAGTCAGCTCCGGCTCCTCGCCGCATCCGTTCGCTCTCCTCTCGGCTAGAGGGTAAATAGAAAGTGCGGAATTTCCCGTGCCGTTCTCGCCCGCCGACGAAGACGATCAGAGGAAACGGGGGAAATTGACGGTACGTCGTCGATCGGAGGCGGATAAATAATCGCTAAGCGACTCGTTTTCTATCCCGCTAATCGGATCGGTCGTTCCAGGAGCGCTTTCGATATTCCATAAATTCTGTCCCTTCGGGGCGGAATCTAAAGTTAGCTCTCGGCGAAACTTTCTCTCCATCGCGCGCAGGGGAGCGTCCACGATGTTTGCTTTTGCAAATCCGCGCGTTCGTTTCCTCTCCCACGGGGGAAGTCGGCTTGGTCGGAACCCGCACCCACCCGTAGCGCGACTTCCCGAGTCCTCGATTATGATTTCTTCGTTTCTCCTCGTGGCAGTGCGTCGTCTCTTTTGTTTCTTTCAGTAAGACCGTATCCGTAAAGGCCGCGAAGTCGGTTCCCATGCGGGGAGTCCGGAGAGTCCGGAGAATCCGGAGAGTCCGGAGAGTCGAGTAGTTGGTTGAGTTGCCGTTGCATGGGCTGGCTTGCGCGAGTCTCGGGCCGAGTCGGAATTGCACCCGAGGCGACGGCCGACCGCACCCTTTGGACATGACCAACGACAAGCAGGTGAGCGAACGCCCTCCGAAGCCCTCCGAGCGGGGACGTCCTTCTCGACCGCGAGCCCGTGCACGTGTCCGTCGACTCGCGTATGCTTGCGTAGACATCGTAAATGTTTGCACCCCCGCGTGTATGTCGGTCGGCGATGCCCTCGTTAACGATGGAACTCCGATTCGCAGTCCTGGTTCCGCGGAGTTCGGAGCAGCAAGTTCCGCCACGTGTACGGCGTGCCGGCGAAGCGGGAGAAGTGCTACGACAACGTCAAGATCACCAAGAACGCCCACGACTCGCAGTTCTGCGCCGTCAACCCCAAGTTCCTGGCGGTGGTGACGGAAGTCGCGGGCGGAGGCGCCTTTCTGGTCCTGCCTTTGGATAACGTGAGTCCTTATCGGAAATGGCCCGGCGAGAGCGGTCGACTTTTTCCTGGCTAGATCTCTCCTAGTTTCTCGAGTTTCTCGAGTTTCTCGACGGACCGTTGACTTTTCTCCGTTGAAACTCTCTCCGCAGACGGGCAGGTTGGATTTCAACGCCAGCAGAGTCACCGGGCACGCGGGTCCGGTCCTGGACATCAAGTGGAACCCCTTCAACGACAACGTCATTGCCTCCTGCTCGGACGATTGCACGGTAGGGAAAGGGCTTTATCCTGCCAGGGTCGACGTTAACCCCTCCTCTCTCGGTCTTAGGTCAAGCTGTGGCACATACCGGATGGAGGCTTGTCGAGAAATCTGACGGAATGGCTGGTGGAGCTGCAGGGCCACAAACGACGCGTCGCCTATGTGACGTGGCACCCGGTCGCCGAGAACGTTCTCTTCAGCGCCGGTTTCGACCATCTCGTCATCGTTTGGGACATAAACCGCGGCGAGGCGGTCAGCGTGATCGACAGACACCCCGACGTCATCTACAGCATGTCCCTCAACAGGGACGGAAGTTTGCTGGCGACGACCTGCAAGGACAAAAGGCTGCGCGTCTTCGAGCCGCGTTCGGGAATAGTGGTATCGGTAGGTACGAGGCTCGAAAGATTCCGGACGTTGACGCGCCGTTAACGGCTGCCGACGTGACGCTCATGGTTTTAGGAGGGTGTATGTCACGCCGGGACCAAGGCGAGCAAAGTCGTCTTCCTTGGCAATTCCGGTCGCTTGCTGACCACCGGTTTCAGCAGACACTCGGACAGACAATACGCGGTCTGGAGTCAACACGACTTGTCGGCGCCCCTGACGTGCGAGACGATCGACTCCTCGAGTGGCGTTGTCTTTCCTTATTACGACGACGACACCAATATGGTGTATCTTGCCGGAAAGGTAAAGCAATCGATCCGGTCGAAGCGCTCCCTTTCGTGCACGTGTTTTTTTTAATGACACGGAAATTAGTTGGACCCCGTCGCCATCCCCGAATGCGGTCCAAGTAGATTTCACGTCGCTACCTCGTACGTTTCAGGGTGACGGAAACATTAGATACTACGAAGTAACCAACGAGGCCCCCTGGGTGCATTATCTCAGTCAATTCATTTCTGGGAATCCTCAGAGGGGGTTAGGTGTCATGCCAAAGAGGGGAGTCACTACTTCCGCCTGCGAGATCTACAGGTTCTACAAGCTACACGCCACTCGCGGCATGTGCGAGCCGATTTCGATGATAGTGCCGAGAAAGGTGAGCGCGCGTCAACCCCGTAAATATTAGCTATCGACCGGTCGGACTTATTCGATTGACGTTTCGCGATTTATCAGAGCGACCAGTTCCAAGAGGACCTATACCCCGACACCGTCGGGACCACTCCTGCTCTTTCGGCTAGGGATTGGATCAGCGGCATCAACGGTCCGCCGATCCTGATCTCCCTCAAGACCGGTAACCACCTTTCAAACGTTATGATACAAAGGAGCAAAAATGGTCCCCCTTTTACGTAACGACCAGCGCGTTCGCTCCTCGATTAAAACGTCGCCGGTAACCGTTCCCTCGATGCATCCGGATGATCTGTCAACAGGTGGTAGCATCACCACTCATAAGCCACGTGTCTATAAACCGACGCAATTGCCACCTGCCACGGATTTGAACAACAAAAAGAAGTTTGCCTTCCTGTCCACCGAGACCGTCCCGGACTACAGGCCCGTCCAGCTACACGACATGTCGGAAAAGAGCCAGAAAACGTCAACCAACCAGAGTACTAAATTCCACCAACTGCAGCAGAAATTTGGGAACGTGGGTTTGCAGGTGAATGTCTCCGTTTGCTCCTCGTGCGTGCGCTTTGAAAAATAGACAAGTCGCGGTCTATTTTTTTGGCTTGGTCGTTGACCATTTGTCTAACGCACTAACACTTTGCATGGTCCGTCACCAAGACAGCCAGATGTAGCACCCAATTCTATGAGCTCGTTTGCAAGTTCGGAAGCTATACCGATTATCGCAAGGTAGGTCGTGGCAACTTATTTATTTATTTTCGCAAACATTCCCCATTGAATCATCGTGCATGGTCCCGCAAATGATTATACCTGCATCGTTACAAGTTCTGCTATTTATCCGTCACAAATGTACGCCATTCTCAATCATTTCTGCACGATACTGAAATTCTACCGTATGGATCAACGATGAGATTTACGTAAGGGTAGAGAATTCTCCTCTTTTTTACTCACTGTATGAAAAAGTGCCTCAGGAACTAACTTTAACGTTCATTCAACGAGGCAATTTGTTTATGCAGAACAACATCGTAACCACGACAATGTACGACAACAAAATCCTGGAAACCGTGGACGTCCCTAACAACGAGGCGGAACTGAGATTGGCTTTCGCAAGACAAACGGAAGAATTGCGCTTGGTACGCCGGCAATTGGCCAACAGCCAACTGCGCGTCAAGGAACTCGAGGAGCAAATACGAAAACTTCAAAATCATTAAATCTTAGCATTTTTATCGGGCTAATCTTATCGAAGTCTGGAGATAATATCTATCAACCGGAGCAAGAGACTCCATCGGCTGCAGCACAAATTTGAGAACGACATTTGACAGGTGAATGTCGCTACTAAAATGTACAAGAAAGTACACGAACGCGTAATTAATGGCTAAATAGCTTAATTCTCGGGCGTTTTTTTTACCGAAGGAAAACAATATCGAACCCATCATGTGAACGTGATTCTTTGTTTCGCTTTTCTTTCTTTCCTTTTTTTTTTATGATAAAATTTATCGAATTCATATTAAACAGTACCTGCATTATCCGGCAGCCTGAACGACCTTATCAATATATTCAATACACTCGCAATTTTTATGTGACCATAAGTACCCCTATCTTTGAAATCGTTGCAAGGAGTCCTCCAAAGGTACATATATATAAATACATAAAAATATATATATAACATGTAGATGGTAGGGTATCGTTACAAGCTGTACATTTATATATTCAAAGCTTCAGGTTGCGTTATGCTCGAAAGACCTAAATTGCGGCCAAGTTTTACAAGATTTCCTTATGGTAGTTAATACGGTTTTCTGTTAAAAAAAAAAAAAGAAGAAAAGAAAAGAAAGAAAAGTCGTCAATGTGATTAATTTGTATTAGATGTTACTCCGATGCCCTGATCTTTTTTTCATATTGATGTAAGACTCGTATATTACCTCGAAAGTATTAACACATTTTGCGCCGATGGCGTAAAAGTACAATTTTTTCATGTCATCGCTTAATCATGGGTGGCGCAAATTTATAATTTTTTCATATCTTATGCACATCGCCAGCAGTTAAGCAAGTTTCGTAGATGGCAGATGGCAGATTGTAAAAGACGCTCTGCAAGTGAGGTCACATAGTCAGTGATTTTAACGCAAAAATTCATCATATCATGTAGATTCGGTGATTGTGGAAGTGTACGGTTTAGAGAGGATGTAATGATCTAGACGATTCTAGAAAATACCACTATCATGCGAGAGAAAAAGTTAACTCCACCACCCCGAGACCTTGTGCGATCGATTTTGTAATTCTCGCCACATGATTCAAGGAATTTCTTCTAATGCCGGTCGAGATCACAAAACATTTATACGTATTTTTACATACCTCGTACAAAAAATTAGATCGGTAAAAGAGTAGAGCATTGTATTTCTAGTAACAGAGGATCACGACTCGACACACTTAATCGCGAGGAGGGTGATTTGTCGTTCGAACCCGCGCGGACCTGGGGATCTGTTGAAAATAGTTTTATATAAAATCAATTTTGATACAATGTTTACAAATGATTGGGATTTCGTTCGTTACATAATCAAAATATGAATTGACCAATTTTGCAAATTAAATTAAATTAATTCTGTCTGTTAAATAAATTCAAGGAATTCGGAACTTAATTCGATATTTTCGGAATAATCGGTTATCAATTATCGTAACATCTATCTCGCACAGGTGTCTGCTAATCTCTGTTGGAAAAACAATAAACATTGTCTTGCAAGATATTTTCCGTAGATCTGTTTTGAATGGGTACCCAGTCTGCGTGAAAAGAGCTCGTTTGGGTGAAAAAAACTCAAGAGCTACTATTAAACTTATTTAGCGTGCCTTTGTGAAACAAAAAACTGCCTTCGATGTTTTTCCCACAATGCCTGCAGTACCTAGTGCCTGTTTTCTTGGTAATTCAAGAGAGCCCCGTAAACGAGACAAGTGTATAAAATGCATGTAACGAGTTAATGTAAAAAAGCCAGTTGACTCTCTTATGTGACGAAGGGACTGAATAGAATTCGTCTATCATTTATTTGCTGATTTTATTTTGTTTCATCGGTCGGTTTTAAGGATCTTTCCTTTCAGTCTTTTTTACAGAGCAGCGTCGTCAAGTTTATCAGTTTTAAGTCGAGAAAACTTCATTGGCCTTAGTTTAATTTACATTAAAGAGAGTAGAGATTAGATCAAAAGTGGTGTGCCAAAAATTGGCTTCTCCTTAAAACTTTCATTTTTTGAGGGAGAAGAGCCAATAAGAGAATTGGTCTGCATCGAAGAGTATTTTTAACCATTGCTTTAATGTTTGTATGCCAAAGACAAAACTATCACGGAAAGACGTGCACAAGTATTTTACAGATCATGAATTAGTTTCTCATTAACTTAAGTCATACACATGGTAACATATATATATATGTGTGTGTTCTCATACATATATGAAATATTCGCTACTCATAATTAACAGTGATGTCAAGCATTTTCAACCATAGCTTATTCGAATAAACCTAAGCATTTACTCTACGTGGAATTCTTTGCTTTAATGCAGGAGATTATGATCCGAGCGGTTCTCTTATAACCTATAACCCGTTATGTCGACGGGGTAGAAAAAATGTATTAACATTGACGAGTTTCTGCTCAATGTCTGTATCTTATCCGAAGGACTAAATTGGTATGTACTAAAATTGCAATTACATAAACGTATCTTGCTTTGAGCGTTACAAAGAAAGTACTCCTGCGCGTTTTACTAGCGACTCTCCTTCCTTGTGCATGTGTAAATCGATGTGTTGTAAAAAATTCTAACGTTAACCTAACTTAAATACTTTCATTGAAATCGATAGAAACAATATCGGTAAAATAATGGAATGCTTTTAGGAACGAATAACTAATAGTACCCAACTGCAACATGTCTTTGTAGCCATAAACATATTAAATGAAGATGTATAAAAAATTTTCCAGAGCACATGTTTGGTGACATTAAATGTCAGAGATGGATTAATTTCAAGTTTGATATGTCTTTTTAATAATTGGACTTACTAATCCTATGTCAGCAAGAAGAGACTCCAGATAAGTAAAAATCCAGAAGTGACAAATGCAACGACACCTGGAAGTAGTGATCGCGCTGAATTACACCCATCGCTAGAACATGTATAAACGCAAGTTCTATAATTTAACGTGTCTCCGGGTTGGTTTAGGTAATTGCAGTAATTCCCCAAGTTGACTGCTGAGCAGAATCGCTTGGTCCCGATGCCACCTATCAAACAAAACCAACTATTTCGGTTAATAGATCCTACATTACTTAAAAGAAGACATTATAACAACGAGCAAGACATAAGACTCAAATTTCACATAATTTGAAAACTAAAATAAGCAACCGAATCCGAAGTATGAAGGAGCAGGAAGGGAATACCCAAGACCTCACTAAGGAAGAAATAAAAGTGTAAGTGTAAGCGAGATGGTTTTTTGAAAACCTCCGTAACGGCCAATGGATTTGACGCAGAACTGTGCTTCAAAAATATGGTTGCAGTTTTTTGGTTGAAGTGCTTCCACTACCAGGAAATCATCCCCGCATTCCCAATCCATGGCAGAGGTACATTGGTAACAATCCAGGGCCAGTACTTCATGCAATGGTAATTAAATTTATTAAATTAGACGAATGTGAAGATGAAAAAAATTAAACTTGACATCAACTCGAGTCACCGGCTGATAGGGACGTCGCAAATCAATTATATGAAAAAAATGTTAAAACCGAGACACGCTAGAACTTGAATTAAATTCTATAGTAGACGGGATGCTTGACCAATCCAACACCGAAACATTGAAAACTTCTTCGATTTGAAGTCTGTATCTTCATCTGGAAACCAGTTAGTAAATAGCCATGCCAAAACATTCCTCATGTAAATAAGTAAATTCTTTTCCAAGAGGTAAAGGATAACCTCCATGGTTGTCTTCCCTTTTAGGTAGAGGATATCTCACCCGTGCCTTTCATGTATATATATAAATGACTAAGGTATCGGAAAACGTCTAAAGTCTAATGATTATCCCAATGGTTAGTAAGCGTTAGTCCTTCCAGAAAAGTATTTGACGGAATAGCCCGTGCATGCCTGGAAATCGATTTTTTACCCTCAAATCGCCCGACATGTTTGACACAATACTGGGCATCGTAGACCGTGTCGCATGACACTGGCTCCAAGTCCGTGTCATCGGTCATGAACTCGTTACATTGAAAAGGACTCGAGCTGTTCATGCTGACGCATTGATAACACCTTATCCCTTGGGCTAAAAAGTACGATAAGAGGAATAAAATTATGCATAGAAAAACACGATCAGCCAATGGGCCAACGCGACGCACGTTTCAATCCGCACCTTATCTATGCCGTACTTTTTCCATTCGTGGTTCTCTGACCTTTGTAAAGTACAATCTACAGTGCATGTCGCAACAACTCGATCCGAATTGTGCGACTCGATTATTTAGATCTTCCTCCGAAACGCTACCTCCCTAGATCTATTAGATAAATCGATAATCCGTGTTTCGTGGCACGATCCATACAACTTGAACATTCACTTGTTTTACTGATACCGAGCTCAAAACACTGGGCCGAAATCCAACACACATACAGATTTCACTTACTCTCCAGGTCTACGACAAAATCGATCGATACATTGTGTTCTAACAATCGAATTAAAGCATCGCCGTGGACCGTCAAAGTTCCCTTTCAAGCAACAGGTGGTGTTGGCCAGTGATCGAACAATTTCCGTCGAACGTGATCTTCGGGGCGTCGATATCGATTATTATTTCGGCCGCGATCGCGTTCCACTTGAGCATGCTCACCTGCTCCGAAGAGAACCGCCACTACCGCCACCGTCAGAAATTGCTTCCGCGCCATTTTCGAATAACCCGTGCGCGATGGAACGTTTAGCCAAAATCGATGCGATCGCGCAAGTTGACGACCTTAGAGTCACACCCTTTCGTGACCTGTGGTCACCTGTTCACTCGAAGCACCCTGGAAACAGCGATGAGTTGGAAGATTGCTCACGGGAAGGATCGAGCGACCGCGTTCTGTGCGACCTCCGGTGGAGGACGCAGACGGCTAATGCACTTGCCACCTGTTACAACTCTGAACCGGCAATTACAACTGAGAACCGGCTGAAAAAGTGACGAACTCCTCACAAAAACTCCAAAACCCTGTATCTCCTCCGAAAAAAATTGTAGCCACTAGTTCGAGAGATCACTTAAACCGAACAACCTTCCCCATCAAGCTACTGTGGACGCAGTTCGCACCGCGAAAAAAATTCACAAACATCCTTTAACATATTTTAACATCTTCTACCAACAAGTGCAGCAAGCTCGATTTCGATTAACTGCCCATGATGATTTTACCAAAAATGGCTGCTTCCAGGTGATCCACCTAAACCTGCAAAGGGGCACAAAAGTACAGGTAAAACGGAACATTGAAGACACACCAGGAAGTCGCCAGATTGCCCAGAGTTGTAACAGGTGGAAAATGCATTAGCCGTCTGCATCCTTCACCGGAGGTCGCACAGGACGCGGTTGCTCGATCCTTCCCGTGAATCTCTCAACTCATCTCTGATTTGGCAGAGCAATCTCCCAACTCATCTCTGGCCCATCTCTGTGATCTGCTGTGATCAACTGTGACAAACATCAACAAGATGACGTAGAAAAAAGGAGGAGGGACAACGTGGCGAAAAAAATGGATGGCTGTCCGTTCGAAAGAACGGAAGGCCGTCTCTTCGGGCAGAGCCCCCTACGTCTCTCACTGACCGGAAGGCCATTTGTCCGTCGAGTTTAAAGTTAAAAGTGACCAGCCCCTGTTGAAAGTAGTTTAAAGTTTCAAGTCGTTCCAGGTAGACGAGACGTTCTATTGGATTCGAGTACTTGGGATAAGTAGTTAATCGAACTCGTATTTGATTCTTTACGTTTGAGAGTCGGGGTATTTTCAGATGTTTTATTCACCCAATGTTTTTAAGAAAAAATTTTATTTTCTATTTCTATGTGTACGCATTATAGGTGATACAAGTTTGCCCCTACATTAGGTGTTCTCCTCAATAATTTTACTTCACTGTTACATTGCATCTTTACTTTCAGGTACCAACGATCGAACCAGTAAATATTTCGTGAATCGTTAAACAGTAATTTCATCTATGAATAAGCCAACTAGGACTCCTACAGTTAAGTATAGTTTGCGCAATTGAATACACTTTTCTAATCGTCAATAGTCACTTAACCGTCGCAGAACTTAGTTGCACCTCGATTACTCATCCAGTAATTTCTCCACTGGTCACATTGTTGAGAACTCGTATACTCTTTTTCTTCTTCGGCTTAATTTTTGTTGGCCTCTTTGACTTGGTCTGATCAATTTTTAATGCCTGCTTCCTGGACCTACCGTGAGTCCCTTTACTATTCTGCTTGTATGAAAAAACAACCCTCGTAGGAATTTTTGAGGTTGATTTCTCAACCGTTCTCTTTCTTGCGACAAGCTTCTTTGCAGGCTTTGCTTTCAAAATCAATTTCTCCTCGGTCTTTGTGCTCGAGGTCTCCGAAATCGAGGCTTCGCCTCGGGGTCTTGCAAGTTTTGGAGAAATAACTTTCAGTCTTTTGGAGCCTTGTCTGATGGCAGTCGTCTCTTCCACGATAATAGGTTGTTGGAGACTTTCACCAGCCATGTCCTTTTTCATCGGAGGCTTACACTTTTTTGGTCGAGGTACGAAGGAAGGTCTGACATGCTCCGGATTAGAGTCGAATGGCACGTGGGGTTCAACGGCTTTAAAAAGTTTCTTCTTTGCTTTCACCGGGATCGATTTACTCGTCGAGGGTGGAGGAGCATTCTCACTCCGATTCGTATCCTGATTTTTCAACGTCTTACGGATTATCAATTGCTTGGGTTTTTTACTAGCTTTTAGCTTTTTTGTGACCGCATAGAGCGACGCGGTACGACGAACGGTGCACGGCTTCTTCGGGACGTCCGTTTCACTGCTCGAGCTGTCTTCCGGGATACACGAAGGACTCGATTCCGTTGACTTGACAAGGAAAGAATCTTGCGCTGAAGCCCCGCTCTTGTTCTGCAGGATAAAATAAAGAAATTTTATCAAAAGTTGTCAAAACTATCTCTAGGAAAAGTATCTAGTTTCCGTTCACTTGACCAAACGAAGAAACCCTTCTCAAAACTGAGAACGGGGGATCAACCTCGGGACAGATCGGGACAAGCGGGAGCAAAATAAAAGAGAAGCAACGTAATACGTACCAATAGACTTTAAATTTATTAACGAATAAATATATATATATATATATATGTATATATAAGTATGTTATATAAAACGATACATTGCGACGCGTGGTCGTACATGGTTCGGAGGTACTAAGAGTAAATATATACACGCACACCCAGGACCTGACACGGGACGGTCCGGAGATGCGCTCTAACTTGGACCTAGGGACTGCACTTTATCGGGGCTCGAGTCATGGTAGTCGCGATTGTACGGACAAAGTTCGCGAGAAAAGTCGGGCGGCGGTCATTGGGAGCGAACCAGAGGGTCGAAACATCGAAGCGGGGATTCGCGAGTCCAATCGCTTTCCTACTGTCTACGCTGGACAAATAGCGGTCATCGAGTGACCGCGAGGAGGGATCCAAGGAATTCGAACGAGGTTTCATCTCGGGTTGAGTAAAGCTCGATTCAAAGTGCAACCAGGGTAACGTCGAAATTGGAGCTACACCTTCACCTCTGGATCCCTCGGTGTTAATGCGAAAACACGAGGCAAACGTCGAGAAATGCGGTGAAAATGCCAGTTTCGTCATTCAAACATCGATGGAGATATCGACGGTTGTTCAAACGACCGTCGATATCTCCATCGATCGCGATTCGTGCGTTAGTCACGTCTCGCGAGTCGTCGCAATTTCTCTCTGGTCGAGCTGGAGTCTTTTATCCATCGAGTGCGTTAATCGAGCACGTTTCTTGGAATTAACGTGGGAGCAATCTCTCGAATATTAGTCAAGCTCACGTCGTCGTAATTAAGACGGTACGCAGTGCCGAATGTCGGCGTGTATGATCTCGCTCTCGCCATCTGCGGTTAAATTTACCTTGTGAAGAGGCCGACTGAAAGATGCTGTAAAATTGCTCGCGTAGGTTAATTTCAGGTACGACCTTACGCCTCTCAATGAACGGTGTTGGCTGTTTGGCAGGCGACTGTTCGGATTACTGTTCGTGAGGTCGAGAATCGACGGACCTAACGCGGCTCCGACCTGAGTCAAACGTTCAATATTGGAGGTTAGTTTGCGCCATGTTCTTTCGACCGTCATTGATTTTAATTGTTTTTAGATCTTAAATTGTAAAGCTAATTTAATACACCGATCGTTTTGGGTACAAATTCTTACGAAATGCAAAATTTTCATCAAGCTTTGGTATAAAATTTATATTAAAACTCAACGATTCTCACCTCTTCGAATACAGTGGGCGTGTATTTGGGTGGAACAAATATATGAGCGTGAGTCTTGTTAACACCATCGCGGATTCTGGCAGGAATGCAGTTTACTAATCGGCCAGAATTATAATTACATTCGAGCGTGTAGCTACGTACGAGCCCAGTCATTTTGTAAACTGCGACTCGACCAGATCCTTCGCGGGACATTCCATCTTTCTTGTCCCTAGAAATGAAAATACGCGTTAAATTAAAAGTGGAAAAAGCAGAAATATGGATTGAAAGAGTTAAAGGAAAAAGTGTCCATGACTATCTCGTGCTTACGTTAAGTACATGTTTCTTTCCGTAAAGTTGCAAGAAGTAAAGTGAAAATTGGGATTGTTAATGGACATCAACTTTGGCAAGAGCATGCACGTTATCGTGTCCTCTGGGTCGTTGAAATAATTTCCATACATGAACACACCCTTTTTCGAGGCATGGCCATGGAGGTCGATGTACAAAAATAATCCCGAGGGTTCGCTATCAGCTGGGAAGTGTTCCGTCTCAATGGCACCGTGTATTTTTTCTTCGCAATCACTCCTTAATGCCATGTTTTCGTTCATTTCTGTCCGTCCCTCAATTTTTCCTAAAATTAGTGAAAAATTGGTCATTGACTTGGTAAAAAAAGAAAAAAAATAGTGATTATTTGCAGAGATGCAGATACAAAAATCTCTTGTTATCAGCAATCAGCGTAAGTAGGATTAACTTACGATGAGTCGTATTTTCCAATGTTTCTTTCAAACATTCATACTCAATGTCAGACTCTGACCCTCTTTTACCTTCCTCGTTTAATGTCATCAGGGTTACCTATATAAAAATATACATAAATAAATAAATATTTCTCCTTCCAAGAGTAAAATAATAAAGAATGATAACAAAAAGAAAAGATTCAGTAGAAATATTATCGCAACCTGTTGCAGTAACTCGTTAGCGGTGTCTCCCTTAATCGGTGGTTCAGAGGTGTTTAGAGGTATGGAACTTTCTTTGTCCTTATTTACAGATAAGTTTATATCTGTTGTCGGACTATCCGTGGATTTTACTTCTCTCTCTTTTTCTTCCTCTTCTGGTAATCGATAAAAGTTATGGTAATATCTATAAGGATAAGGAAATAAATTATGGCAGGTTGATCGACATGGCATTGACAGAACGCACCTTATTAAATTCCTTGCAGCATATATTGTGGGATGATCCTTTATGGATGGATTAAGGTATACTCTGTTTAGGTTAACACCTCTGGTATCCATTCGGTAATGACCACGTACTACTCCATCAGGATTGAGCATTGGAATCATTTTGAACACATACAAGCGACGTAAAATAATCGCAATTTGATCTTCTCGATTTAACAAATAATTGAGAAAACCATTGAAGACAAAACTAGAGGGTGTCTCGCCTGGATGAACCCGAGCACTTATGAATATCACCTGTCAATAATTAAAATATACATATAAAATAGGATATCAACAGAAATTCTTCTTGTAAAGATTAATTCTAAATCTACCTTTTTGTTTCTAAATTTAAAGGGCCGCACTTCATCTTTTTCAGGGAACATCATGGTCAGCCTAGCTTCTCTCTCCGTTGATATGTTGTGATGTGAACTTATTGTCAGCAAGTCCAGCGTTCGACCTTCCAACGATTTAATTGCACATTCCCTGTGATAATAAATATCATCTGCAGTAGTAATATTTCTTTTTGCCATTCTGGCATCGATTCTCTTCAAATAATTTTGGAGGTCTGTATAAGTAAAGGGATATGTAAAAGCAAAATACGTAATAGCTTTCGGGTTCTCTGAAGCATGATGTACGAATGATAAAATAAATTCATTCCCTTTTTGATCCAACTGTAAAGTAATAGCATCTTTAGGCTCAATGAATATAATTTTAGTTGACACTATGTATGGAACTGAAGATAATTACAGTATATGTTGGTTTCTCCCGAATCCGTTCCCAGTGTGGGTGTCCTGGTACGGTTTTGAACACAGGGCACATGCCTTGGCTAAACATTCTTACTTGATTATTCAAATTAACAATATTTAATTTGACTTGAACACCTTGAGCGACTGCTCTTACACCAAAATAAAACCAAGTTCTATTGTTATTTTGATATTCGGTTCCATGGCAGTCACGCTTTGTCCATAAATTAAACTCGTACTCAGGAGAGTCATCGGAGCACAAGTTATTACTGTTACCTTCGTTTGAATCTAGAGACAATCAGGGATGAATACAACTATTTGCAAATAGTGGATGCATATAAGAAATGTGCACTTACCATTGTGGGGAGCTTTATCGACTTGTTCGACTTTAGCTAAATTAGATGAGTCAAAATTGTTAAAAAATGTAAAACCTCCACAGGTGATACCTTCCAACGTGCCTGCCATATCAAGGATATTGCATAGTACTCTGTAAAATAATTTAATGATATGAGAACGTATTCTGTGTTACCATTGACATTTTTTATTTAATACAAGTCAAAGCTTAATGGGCACAAAAGTGTCACGAGAGAGTTTGCTCTGAATTCAGCTCTCAACATAAACATAAGATTAACCTAATGGTACTAAAACATTAATTAAATATAATGTTATATTCATTAAAGAAATCAAAATTGGGCAGAGGGAATTGAATAATTATAAGATTAATCATAAAATCAGATCATTTTTGTCTGGTCAAATCTTTTCAGTCTATTTTACTGGTAATGAGTAACGTTCATATAATGCCTGTAACAATTAGTGTGATTTTCTTAAAAAATCACTAGCCATCATGTGATCTTTATTTACGTAATATTGGATCAAGATGAAACGGAGCAGAGATACTTCTTGATTACCGGGAGTAACACTTCCCTTCATTCCTCTTCACAATCTATCGATGACTTTTCTCGTTCCCCCAGTGACATTTTGATGGTGGAAAGGCGATTAATGTAATGCCACATTTTCATGCACGCGGAAATCACATAAAATCGACGCAAAGCGCGGAACGTGAAATGGCCATGTGAAAATGCTAAAGGTGAGCACCCTCCACGATTCTGTAACTTTCACTACGGTGAAAATGTGAGATACTTCACGTACGAAAACTCGACAAAAAAATGTGTCGAGTAGAATGAAGATGAGAACAGCTACGGATCCTACTGGTTAGCTATTGGGCAAGTGCTGCCTCATGGGTAGCCGGTGCATCTTGAAACGCGACAGTTCTCCAACCGGCTCGCGGGCAGTTCACTAGCATGCACTTGCATGTATTAAAGAAGTATGATGTCACATGTGCAGATACACTTCGTGCCGCGCCGGGAAGTAAATACTGGTAAACTTGGTAAATAAATACGTTTCAATGAATTTAGGTGTGACTAAAAGTTTACGTTCTAGTAATTTTAATGTATTTTCTATTTAAGAATTCTCTGGAGGTTGATTTGCTCCTCCGTTATTTATGTACCAGAATTGTATCTTTATTTTACGTTAACTATTAGGTGTCACAGCTGGATCAGGATAACGACAGAATGGAGGATATTAATCAAACGGAAGAAGCGATCAGCGAATTCGCAAAGACCGACAAGTATTCCATTCTATTGCCAACTTATAACGAGCGGGACAACTTACCAATAATCATATGGCTCATCATTAAGTACATGGACAAGAGGTAATTAAATCATAATTTTTTATTTTAACAGATCTAATGATAGGAAAAAATGCTTTTATTTGAAAGAACCATGTAAAATAATTTTATCACTTTGGACCGTAGTAAATACAATTACGAAGTGATCATAATTGATGATGGCTCTCCCGATGGAACCCAGGAGCTAGCAAAGCAATTGCAAAAATTGTATGGAGAGAAAAAGATACAGTTGAGGCCCAGAGAAAAGAAACTTGGCCTTGGAACTGCATACATACATGGAATTAAATATGCTACCGGTAATTTTGTTCTCATAATGGATGCCGACTTGTCTCATCACGTACGTGTTCTTAATGTTTCTCTTGGTTACATGAATAGACCTAACATGTCATAACCATACTAATCGCAATACAATTATATCTTTATAGCCCAAATTTATTCCAAAGATGATCGAATTACAACGTTACTTGGATTTGGATATCGTCAGTGGAACGAGATATATCGACGGAGGAGGTGTCTATGGATGGGATTTTAAGAGAAAACTAATAAGTCGAGGAGCAAATTTTCTTACACAGCTGCTTCTTAGACCAGGTGTCAGTGATTTAACGGGTAGTTTTAGGTAACAGTGAGCAATACAGGTTTCCCTGATTTATGCAAAACATGAATTTTATATCTCGACGGTATAACTGCTCGGCTTAACTAGCGTTACTATCATTTAATCGGCATAACATTCGGCGTTATCGATGACGTTTGATTTTTTTTTTTCAGACTTTATAAGAAACCCATTTTGGAAAAACTGATTATGTCGTGCATTTCAAAAGGTTACGTTTTCCAAATGGAAATGATAGCACGAGCGAGACAGTTCAACTATACGGTCGGCGAAGTGCCGATTACATTCGTCGATCGACTTTATGGACAATCTAAACTCGGGGGATCGGAAATCATTCAATTTATAAAAGGCCTTTTATATTTATTTGCGACTACATAAGATGTCGAGACGAATGTTTGCAAAAGATATACAGCAATCGTTTGCGAATGAAATTACGTTTAAACATTTTAACATGTCCGTTTAATAAACGACAATGCTGGAAAATTGTCAATCGATTTTGCACAAGGTGAAATTAATGTCGAAGTTATTCGGGTACAATTCAGATTACGTTCGAGTCTGCATCTCGTTATTACCGAAACGTTGAGAAGCAAGGTAGTCCTGTTGAAAAAAAACATGCGATAAGAAGATGACATGCCGAAAAGTGGCGAAAAGTGGTAAAAAGCGGCAAAAAGCACGGCGGGGTGTCGGGAGGGCGGCTGCGCGCAGGCATCGCGCAGGCATCGCGCAGGGGCTGCGCGCGTCGGCCGGGGCGAGGCGAGACACCCTCGATCGAGCTTACGGATGGTTCTACTCGCGTGCCTTTCGGATCCGGCCTTCTCTCTTAATTTCTCCAATATTCCTCGTTTAACGCGGTCCGGTCAGTGACAATACCGAAAGGTCTCTCAGCATGCCAAGGAAAATCGGATTCAACGTCGTTTATGCCACTAGTAAGAAAACCGTCAATTTATTATTTACCGAATCGATAGAATTCGAAAGCTCGGGTAATCGCTAACCTCGAAGGAATTGCCGATACTTTTCCTGAAAGTCGACGTCGAGAAAGGACCGCCTCGATTCGAAAGGGTGGTTACCGTTATCGGACGGACGCGGGACGAAATGCCACCAGGAATGCCGTCTGCCCGTTCCGGAGATACGTCTCTTGATTTAACTCGGAGGTTTTCGCGGAGCGCGGGGCAATTCGCAATTCCGTTGGCATCGATTTTTCACAGGACGCGCGTCATTTCTTAACCCTTGACGTTTCCGTCCTCGAGGCGATCGAGCTCGGTCCGGTTCTAATCTCGATTCGTCGCTCCCCGCAGGCGAGGAGGAGAGACACTCTTCCTTGGAACTGAACGCTCACGGTCCAACGGTGCGAGGCTGGCAGAGCGCCAGGAGGTGCGCCTACCCCCAGGAACTCGTCCTACGCCTGCACGGCCCGACCAAGCTCACCAGAATACAGGTCCTGGCTCACCAGTACCTCATTCGTAAGTATCGGCGAAGCGTCCTCTAGAACTCGGGTCTCCGATCGAAATCCATCGCGACTGTGCTCTCGTCCGATCTCTCCAGCGGAGAAACTGGAGATCTGGACCTCGAGGGAGGAGAACGCTTCCCTGTCGACGGACTTCACCTACTTGGGGTACATCACTCTGTCCGACAACGCGTCGACCCTTTACAAGAGCAGGGAACTGAAGAGCGTGGCTCTTCCGGAGACCGAGGCGATGTCGTTGAAGCTCCGGCTCCACAAACCGCACGGTAATCCGCACAACGTTCACGAGCAAGTGAGTGTCTCGACCGGCGATTTTTCGTCGGCATCGATAACGCTCGCGATTCTCTTTCCGCAGGTCGGCTTGATCGCCATAAACATCCTCGGCGAACCTTACGGCCAACAGCTGAGCGGACAAGGAGACGCTCCCTACAATCCTCATTACACGTCCCCCTACGATGATTTGGCGTTCGAAATGTACGTCGATCGAGAGGTAGCCAAAATCATTAGGCAGATGGAAGCGAAGAAGTTGCAAGCCGTCGAAGGTAAAATCGTGAATAACGCAAATCTTGAATTTCCGGTCGAAAGCACGTGTATCGACTTCTGGCACGGTTTCGGGGTGTAAACGCCTATCGTTGTCGTCGACGTCGTTGAGATGAAAAATTGAATTAGCCTCCGACATCGCGCAAGAAGCGGTTACAACTTCCGATCTTGACCGGTCCAGGGGTTGCGTGGTTCCTTATTCCTTTTTTTCCCTTATCGACCGTTTTCTCGGCAAATTCGGTAATCTTCACTTTTCCCTGCCCAATGCTTGCTCGCGGGGCTCCAGAGGAGAGGTTCGAGTACGCCTCGAAACTAAAGGTCGCAATGGAGAATTTAAGAAAGGCAGGGGAACGTCTCGGCAAGTACGAATTAGAGAAGAAATATGCCATAGCCTTGGAAGATTACGACAAGGCAAAGGCGAAAAAGGCGCAGGCCCAGCAATACAGGCAGCAAGTCTATCAGACCCTGGAAGTCGAGGACTTGCTGGAATTACACGGAGTAAGCCCCTTCCGTCCCGTTACGGTGACTTCTTACGTTTTATCTTACGTTACGTTTAAGTTCGCTTAACATCGGTTGACGCTACCGTTTTCTCAGCCTTTGGAGAAGAACAACGAGTCCTCCGTGGAGAGCAAGGAACCGATAACATTGGACAGTCGTGGACATACCACCGGAGTGACGTCGGAGGACGTTACTTCCCCTCCCAGGTTGGTCGTCCCTCCGAGTCGTGAAGGTGCTCTGTCGCCGACCGGGCCCGCTCATCAACAGCCGGTCTCGCCGTTGCATCAAAAGGCCAATAGTCCAGGTATCGACGATTCCTGGGAATTTCGATTTACCCGATTAAAGGAAAAACTCTCGTCCTCTATTGCCGATTTAATCGTAGAAGTGACGGACAGCCCAACGAATGGTGTCCTGGAGAGGCACAATAACTGTAGCAAGGGATCGATCAGAAGAAAAACAAAATCCGCAGGACCCGCCCTTAGATCGAGTTACGAGGCATACGAAGAGCGCACGATTCCTGCGCTCAGACAGTGAGCAACTTTACTTTATTCGGAGATAGCCTCTAGTCGGCTTGTTCGGATCATCTTAATTCCGTTTTGCAGTTCGCACACCAATGAATTTACAAGGGAGTGCCACGCCGAAAGCACGGAAGCCAAGGGTACTTCCAAACTTAACGACCGAGAGAGGAAGCAAGCGGCCTTGCCGATCGCGGTCTTTGGGATGGACATGGTATTACGTTTCGAACGATTGTTTTACTTTAGAAATTCCGCTCTTTTCGTGAAATTTCGGTACTCTCTAGAAAAATGCGAAAGATGCTTTGGAACGTGAATATTTAAAGCGGTTGGGTCGGTCTATCTTCGAATTGTATTTTCTAGCGTAGGGTTCCACGGGTCAAACCTAATTACCTAGTAAAATTATATTCAGGTGGAAAAATTCTACTCGAAGCAGTTTACGGACAAGGAGGAAGGTCTGATGCATTTGAAGGAGGAGCTTAGGACATTCGATCCCGAAGTATCTAAGCATTCACCGAATAAAATAGCCAGGGCGGCTATTCTATTGTTGCACCGAGCATTGCGGGACAAAGTGTTCAGTGTCTACAGCTTGGCGGCTCAGCTCATAAGAGTCTTCTTCGCGGAATTCGCCACGGACAGGTTGGATACGGAAATTGAAAATGGCTCTCTCGAACGTCGACCGATCCAATTTTTTTTTTTCCGCAGGGTATCTCCGGCCGAGATCGGTCGCAGCGTCGATCGTTTGCTTCCGGAGCTCTTGACCAAATCAGGAGACACGACACCGAGAATTCACAATATGGCGGTTCATACGATACTCAGTATGGCAGACTGTAAGTGCGTCAGGGACTTACATATTATCCCGGTTCACTTGAGTCGACCTGTCAGCAGTAGCACTCATCAAAGACTGGCATTGAGCAGACTAGAAATGGTGGAACAGCTTATCCTAAATCATGGAATATCCACGGACAAACAAAGGTATATTTTTTATAGATGTAAATATTAAATACGGCTTGGAACCGTACCGTGTTATTCTCACGATTACCGCAAAACTGTTTTAAACACTGGAGGAACTTGGGTTCTCCGCAACCTGAACAATTTACCACTAGAGTTGACAATGAATCTCGGTAGCGGGGAACCCTTCCTTGGGTGTAAGCCTAGAACAATCGAATACATTTATCCCATTATGAGGCATTGCAACTGTTGCAGTGGGTTGACCTGTCGAACTTTATCAGAGTTGGGCTCGTCCGGTCTACATCATCCAGCCGAAGCGGTGAGAAAAGTTTCGGAAAGAATTCTTGTTCTAGTTTACAAAGTCAATCCCAGATTGGTAAGGAAACAGCTGCCACCCGATGACGATATTACGAGGAGAAATTTGCTCTACCGGCAACTGTTTCACGAGTTCGATTTAATAGATCTTCAGGTGAGGAATATTTTTTTTTACTGGCCAATTTTAGAGGCAACGTTTAAGAGTCGGTAATTAAGATTTCATGATTCCATTTTTATTTTTCCGAATAGAGAAAAAAGGAACAAGAAGCTTGCCAAAAGTCCACAACCCCTACTCGCATAAAACCCATGGACAGCAACATAACGAATATAACAAAGTCCCCACCCAGAACAAGTCCTGCTGTAAGCTCTGAAAGCTCAGTGAGCATTACATCTCCATCCGATGGTAGCACGGATCAAAAAGGAGACAAGTTAGTGATCGCAATTCACTCTCCTCGTGATTGATTAAGGGCATGCAATCTGAACGTGATTACACTCACCGTTATTAACGTATTTCAGAATGTGTATATTTTGTCTATCGAAAGGACAGGTTTACACGGAAGAAGGCCTTAACATTCATTATTGGAGGACATGTCCAATGTTAACAAAATGCGAGGCATGCAAACAAGTTGTGGAAATTTCGTGCTTAAATATACATCTGTTGAGTGAGTATTCTATTTTTTTTTTATACACGTTACCTTTGAGCGCAAGAATCACATGTGCTTAAGATTCTACATCATCAGCCAATTCTTATTAATATAGGCGAATGCGATATGAGAAGCAACTATGCCAAATGTGGAATATGTAAACAAGCTGTACACGAGAGATCATTTGGGGAACATACGAAAGAGGAAAAATGTACAAGTGGGTAAAATCATATTACTTCCACAGATCGTTATTCTTATACCATTTAATTTTGTATTATAATCATTTCGTAGAGCCAATCGAAGGGTACGAACGATGTCCACTTTGCCTTACCCAAGTTAATCACAACAAGTGGAGAGAACACTTAATGGGCGAACAACCTTGTAGTAATAATCCTCGATGTCAAATTGGAAAAGGCTGTAAGTCATCGCTAAAGCCTAATTAAGTAGATTTTATAGTTAGGCATATTTATTCATTTTCCTCTATTTAATTGTTAGATACATCGTTCCATAGGACACTCGATAATTGAATGCAAAGTATGCGATGCAGTTTGTTCACCATTAAACGCGTGAAAGTTAAACATCTAAAATGGTTTTCAGGTACAAAATCATCGTCCAACTTACAAAACTTGAGTGGAAAATTGACCTCGCCAACCGACAGAGATTACTAGCATCAACTATTGGTTTTAGTCTCAATAGTTTGTATAAAGTTATTTATGATTTTTTGAAATGTTTATTTCATAATTTATGTATCATTGTTATTAAGCATCTAGGTATTTTGCATATTTATACATATATTTAATTGATATAGTAAAAACCCGTCCTTTAAATATAGAAGGGAAAAGCCTTGAAAGTGGAGGGCACGAGGTAGTCAACATTTGAAGAATTACCGAAGAGAAAGATACCTAGTCGTATTAATGGGTAGATGGTTTAGATAACGGTATGGTAACAAATGAAATATTTGAGAGAAACGATCTGTGTAAGAATAAATATCGCAAATTCCATTCCACAACTCGAGCTAATCAGAGTTTAACCGTTTTATAGCAGGTTTAATCCGGGTCAAACGGCGTTTACGCGGTTAAAATGTGCGCGGTGCAAATTTCGACCCCCTGTTCACGAAGGTCGTTCCTTGGTCCGTTTCCGCCGATACCGAGTCATACCGACGCTGGGAATCATTTAAGTTGGCGGTCATTTTAAAACGACCGCTAATGCCGATAAATCCGTTTATTGCGCCAGGTAGACCATAGTCGCTCTTTTAACGGTGAAGGGGTTAAGCCAAGTGACCTTTTCGATCTCGATGTTTCCCGAAAGGAGACGCACCTTTCTCGGTGACCGATGGGGGCGCGTGCGAGAGAATAACATCGTCGGCGTCGATTTACGGGTGTACGGCGGTGATTTACCAACATTAGTCGTTATTTGTCGGGCACAGGGCGTGGGCCGTTCGGTTCGTGTCTAAGGCGAAGGGAACACGTGGGTCTAGAAGAGTTCTCGCGGTTCCTGGGTCAAATTTATTCGGGGGGCCTCGGCCGCCATTGGGCCCAAGATGGTGTCACGATACGCGCCAACAACGAATTCGCGTGGGATTTCCGTCCTCGGGGACGAGGGTCGATCTCGTCCCTGGACCCTCTACTTTTCTCTTCCTCGTCGTTCCCCTGAAATTAATATGGTCCACGAGCGACCGCTCGAATCTCGATTAATTTGATCCCTCGAGAAGTTTCCGTCGCGGCCCGCCATTTCTCCATTTGTAACGGATTTTGATTTCAAGGTTCGAGATTAGAGCGAGCTAGGAATCGCGTGGGCCCCTCTAGGATAACCAGCGGTTCAACCTGGCGAGATAAATCGACAAAGTCCTCTGGTTGTTTTCAAGCTTCCAGCTGTCCATGTATCAATCCAGGAGTTCTCGTGAATCTCGGCGTAGGAGCGTTTCCAGCGCCCGGAACAAGCAGCCTCGGGTCCGAGTCTCCTGGAGCTTTCTCCCGCGCCGCCTTGCCTCTGAATTATTGGATGCAAAATTACGATTTTTCCTCGGAGGCCCTCACGTGCGCCTCGGTACCCACTCCGGTACGTGGGCATCTGGGCGTCGTCGGTTCCCCTCGTCGATGGCGTCGGTGTGTGCGGCGTTGCCAACCCAGGGCGCGAAACCTCGTCCAGTCGTTTCGATTTGCAATAAAAATGCAACATCCAACCCTTTGTCGACCTCTTGACGGCCGCACGTTTTTCGCATTGCTTTTACGTTGCCGCCGGGGCGTATGACGCTTACGTGAAAAAAGTCCCGCGGACGAAACGCCACGGACAGCGGGCTAATCGAAACGACGCGCACGTGGCAGCGGTCGACAATGGGTTGACACCTACAAGAATCCCCTGATTTTGGAAAAATCACGGGGAGAGTCGCGTTTTCTTTAACTGAAATTTTTATTTCTCCAGGACAAAGGTGGTGATATCCGCAAGGCATTGCAAATTCTGGAAAGGAGACGTACAGGGAGATCGGCAACCACGAGCCTGGGGTTGGCAACGCCGGGCGAGCAGAGGCGTGACGCGAGAGGGAGACATAAACCTGCCGGTCACGGAGGAGAGACGACGGAGAGACCGCGGCGTGTTCGCCGCGGGGAAGAGGTGGACGTCTCCTCCGATGATTGCCGCGTATTTACGAGCTCATTACCACCAGAGGAGCCGGAGAGAGGAGAGGCGGAGACGTACCTCCGGTGACTCGACCAGGTGGACGCGACGCCGGCTGGTCGCGAAAAATCGCGAAAAAATTCGGGAGAAACGGGGAAATCCCGGGGACTCCACGGACACTCCTCGATGGAGTTACGTCTTAAGCAAGCGGTAAAAAAGCGACCAGCCATTCGAGGGCACGCGCGATCCGAGGCGCGGGTGGTGGCCCACGCACATAGGCGCGCCCACGCGTGGCTTTAACGCCGAGAGACGCGCGTCAGCTGCGTAAAGAGCCGTAGGTTAAAACCCCGGGATATGGGCGCGAGCTGCTCGGCCTGGCCCGCCTTTGTCCGCCGAGGATAATTGTCCACGCGCGCGAGAACGGCCATCGGCCGCGATATTGGCTGTCGGGAGGATCCCGCCACACCTCCGCCCATTGTAAATCAATCGTCGAGGTCGTGAGCCCTCGAGTGAGCGATGGACGCGCGAAGACGCGGCGATCTTTCGGACTTTAAGCCGCCTCGCTACCGGTAAGAGATTCAAAAGTCACGTAAAAGCTGGGATTCTATCCTATTCTATTTGGAGTTTCAGGCTGACGAACCTGGACTGGAGGTGGGAGAGAGGTCGCATGCGTCCGCCAACGGCGATTTACACATGGAAGGAAGAGAGACGCGCATGGAAAGGTAGGTACCGTAAGATAAAGGAAAAATGTAATTTAATGTTAGCGTTGTAAGATCGAAGAAGATTACAACCCCGCCTTCCGTTTCCTACCGAACCGTTATCCAGGGTCGAAGGATCGCATCCTTCTGGGATATCGAGAAACTCCCGGGAGTTTCGCGCCAAATATATACGGTAGGCAGGAAACCCTTAAAAATTCGCCGACCGTGGCGCCGCGTTTCCGAGGCGGACGCGGACACGCGGTTACGAGGAAATCCGCGCCGAGCTCGCCGCTAGCAATTACTCCTTTTTCAAAGGGGACCTCTTCTCCGCGCGTAACTGGGTCTCGTTCGGGCGCTTCGAGTGGCTGGCTCGAGCGCGGGATAGAAATTTGAAATTGGAAAGGCCGGACCGGCAAAATTAATTGAAGTCTGAGTGCCGCGAACGACGGAAGAGGCGCTGATAGCGGACGCGAAGGAGTCCGGGCACAACGGGACGCCGAGAGCGCCGGAAGCGAGCGCGACCGGAAGGGAGTCGAAGAGGTCCAAGAGGTAACGCAGACGCGAAATTCTGGACAGGAGGTCGTTTCCGTAACTTGGAATCCGCCCACTTACAGGGGATGTATCTGAAAAAAAAGTCTCTAACCCTCTGACTATTAACGGCGTTCGACGATCGATCCCCCGCATTGATGAATTTCGCCCATGCGTCGGAAAGGTTCCGGGCTCAAAGGGTTAATAAATCTAAATTCGACCGTATGATATATATTATTTTTAAATGAAAACGCGTGGAAATTACGGCGTCAATAATTCGGATGATTCTCAGTTTTCAGGGGCGATTCTTCGCGGAGAGACAAGGCGACGCATGGTCGCTGCATCGAGGGCAATAACCAATTCGAAGCCGGGCGGACGAGAAGGGCGGAGTGGCCGGCTGGGGTGCAAACGAGAGAGAGGCCGGAACGGTGAGTCGGACGGAGACGGAGCACCCGTGGATGGACGGAAAGGGAGTCGGATGGAAAGAGAGCGAGGCGCCGAGAGATATACCGTAATACGCGATGAACCTCCCATCCGCGGAACTGCATTTCCTATAATTTGCGAGCAATCACTCGGTAATTGGAAGACTGTGCTATACATAGGCCGTCCAGAATGGCGCGGCTTTGGGGACTGGGGGAATTCCCCGTGCATTCGATTTGCCCCCTAGAAGGGAGGACGACGGAACCCGGCGTTCCCCCTTCGAGGACATCTTCCCGGGGTTTATAAATCGGGTCCATGGGGAGTGGTCAACGACGGATTCCGAGATCTCAGGCTCCGGGGCCTTTGGACCTCGCGAAAGATTCAAATCCGACTTTTTCCTCCCCGGCCTCCCACCTTGCACCTGCGGTCGTCACCGACTCCGCGTAGCAGCCACCTCCGGAACTTTTCCTATTACAACGCGGGATTTATAGCACTTTCTTCCACTTCCGGTGCCAAGAGAAAGGGAACGGAATGTACACAATTTGCGGCCACTCGCGTTCCCTCCGCCCGGAACAATAGGTGGAGGTCTCGGGGATGGGACCAATCGATTTGCGGGGAAATGCCGCGACGTTGGAACTTATTTCGGAGATTATGATACAGGAATTACGGTGCATCCATCCGCTACCGGTGGCAGGAGGAGGTGTACACAACGCCGCCGCGTTTGCGGCCCATTCGCGCCCGTTTGCGTTTCCGCGCCAGGCAAATTGCTTCCCTGGCTCGGACAGAGTTTATTCCAGTAACACAGTTTCGGGTGTTCCGCGAACGAGTTTGTTTGGGTCCATCTCGCTTAAAAGAGTGGGCGGTCCTGCGAAGGATGCAGGGGGTGGTTATACGCCCAGGACAGGGAGGGTGGTCGAGCCAATGGCGTAAGACCCTCGCGTCCCCTCGGGCACCTTCCAACCCTCCCCTCGAACCCCCTCGAACCCCCTCGAACCGCTCCCGAACCGTTCGAACTTGTTCTCTTTACGAGGACGTCTCCTGAAGGGTCGCGAGCCCACGTTGCGGCCCGCTAGCCCGGATTTACGGAACCATCCTTATCCCCGACTCCTGGTGGCGACGGCTCCACCGGTCCAGGAGATATCGCATGGAAATTGCTCGCGACTTTATTCCTCCCGAGGATTCGAGACCGGGACCGCGCTAAGTCGCCGTGAGGGAAGAGTCGAGATTCGATCCATGTCTCGGAACGAATAACCGAAAACCCATGTGCCGTCCAATCGCAAACTTCCTCCTCGATAGAAAAAATAACGGGAGATATGCGCGGAGTAAAAAAAGGAATTTCGCGCGGATCAAGACCTTCCTCGGGGAGAAAAATTTAGATCGACCCCTTGGGTGCCGCTTTCGCGTCAGCTTAACGTTTGCAGGGGATCGAAGAAGTGCGTCTTGGGCAGAATCTGGAGAATAGTCGGGATAGCGGGAACACCATTTTGGAGATTGCATCCGCGTTGGCCAATCGGAGAGGCTGGCTGCACGCAGCGGGGCAGCGGGGCAGCGGGCGAAATGGTACCTTAAGGGTTGGAAGTCGGGGGGCGGCGGCGGACGGAGCCCTGGAAGGGAAGAGCCGGGGCGAGAAGGAAGGCAAGACCACCGCCTCACCCTGCCTCTTTGGTGCGCC